TTCTCTATCATAACTCAACGTTTGAGCAATAAAAATATCATATTCGGAACCAGAATCAAAAACTGAGTCGACTGATGTGTATCTCTATCCTATCTGAGTATTTTTATTTTTTTCGAATTTTACATTGCAAATTTAAATGAATTGAATTTTTCAAATTTCAAATTAAATCAGCAGATTTTATGCTGAATGCTTGATTTTTTTTGAAAATATTCATCATTCGAGGCTGAATCCGAATATATTTTTAAAAATGTTCCATGTCTTAAAAGTGATTTTTAATCCTGTTTTATCAACTTTGGGGTCCGCATGGACCCCGGGTGGACAATAAGCGTTCACATGTACTTTCACATCGTTTATCACGTCAACAACGAATGGCAATGACCAACTGATGTTATCAGCTTACTCTACTACTCTTCACTAAGGCATATCATGAACGGCATGATTCGATCTAATATTATGTGCATATAACATTAATTTGAAACTCGTTGGGGTCCAGCTGGACCCCAGGTGGGCGTATCAGGGTTAAGGAAATTGAAGGTGTTCCTGCAGTCATACTGTCTTGGGGAAATTTAGGCTCTCTCAGGAAACCGTCAAAACATTTTGAACCTCTGAGTATATATCATCACATCAAAATATCAGTATGCTCAATATGACATACTGTTTATGATAAATGCAAAGGCATGGTAACCGTGCAATTTTTTGTCCATCTTCTAACTCTTCAAGACATATAACGCATTCTCCTTTGTCTTCGGTCAACACGTCTTCTACAAATACACAAGAAAAAACTGCTATAAAAATGGATTTTAGACATTTTTTAGAATCTTACCATTATAATCAATTCTTGGTTTTGATAAACACTGTAATATATGAACATCAAATGTATCTGATGGAATAGTTTTGCTGCATACAGGACACTGAATGTCTAAAACAAAATGTGATGTCACTTTAAATTTACAATTTTTGTTTTGAAGTTAGAAATGATCAATTGATCACATACCGTTTAACTTACCCCGTAAAGCAAATAAGAAATGATGTAATCTTCTAGTAGCTCTTGGTGATTCCTCGTCGGAACTAGCGTCTGAATCTTGTGGATGCACATCTAAAACCAACAACATAACGTAATACACTTGAGTCAAATGATGTCGTTTGGTCTCCTGCTACTGGGATACTACTCTTATTATGATTACTGCTAACAATTGCTGCTATGGAATGATTTTTGTACCTCCATGATGATGTGAGCGATGATGTGTTGAAGAACCGGTTGTGGTTGTTGTTGCTGCCGTACTACCACTACGGACATGTGCTGGTGACGGAGATCCAGTAGACAAACGGGCACCCATTACGACATCATTTTTTTGTCAATAATCATAATAAAAAAACTTTGAAGTGAATAATACAAAATCGAAACAGAATATATCGTTCTAATATTAGAAACTAATAATATGTATTGTCATAAAGTTGTTTTTCTTGAATGAAAATAAGAGAGAAGATAGACATACACAACAGTTTAGTTTTAATATTAACAATCAGATATTAAGTACGCATCTCAAGATATCTCTATTTTGTAGATAAACTATATAAAACGAGATTTAAAATAAAATCAACGCTTTTTCGTTAACTTTTACTCTATAGTTATTAGTATCGGACGAGATACTAAAGCAGAAACTATCAAATCCATTTCTCTTTCGTTACCGTGCATGAGAAATTAGTTGTTAGAAAAGATGCAACCGAACGTCTGTAGGATAAAGTACGTCGTTTTATTCCACCTCATGAGGTTCCAAAAATTTGCGGTATTCAGTGGAATTGTGGATACGTTTCATATAATCCTAGCTTGCAGTTTTTGTTTTACAAGCATGTTTTGGACTTCTGCTATTATAACTTTGCACTGTGATCGTTCTTTTTTCGTTTATTAGGCAAGTCTAGCTAGACTTCCGATTAAAATTCACGCTTTCCTCCACTTCAAACATTTTACAATAAGTTTCTATAAGAAAAACGAGATCAGATTGCTGTAGGAATTTTCTTATCATCGAAAAGAAAAGTTTTTCTACGCCTCGTGTTTAATTACGAAGACATTTAAAAAGCAAAGAGTATTGAGTGACACTTTGTGTTTTACCTTTATCGTATCTCGTTTTCCTTGTAGACGCGTCGTTTCGACAGACGTTGATCGAACGTGTCTGTAAAAGACTTTACACTGACTGTTGCCTGCAAATATGAAGTGTATACGTTAAAAACACGTATTTAGAACTCTGGAAAAAGCATTGAATTTGATTAATGAAATTTACTTAGAAGTTCGTTTTCAATACTAAGACTATTCTGGGAAACTTTTTATCTCAATGGCCTCCCACAACTTTCTCTCTCTAAAATCCCAGAAATTCATTTGTTTCAAAAATCATGTGACGTTTCGATTTAAAGTGCAAATAACAAAATATACTCATTTCATTACTCATACTAAACTCATTTCGCTTACCAGCGAATAGGCATAGAGAGATTTCATAGAATAATAAAATAATAAAATGAAGTGTTTTAAATATATAAATTAATTTCGCTGCAAACGTTAAACTTTAAACAAAAGTCTTCAGGAATACTCTAGAAAGATCAAATTCTAATTTGATACATGAAATTTTCTTTTATTAGCACTTTCGTGTTTTTAAATGATGTTTTACCTAATAATAGAAACTATTAATGTTAATTACGAGGTGAAGAAAAAGCCCGTAGATTACTTCATCAACAAAATTTGTGTCGCATAAATTTATTAAATCTAAAACTACTGTAAAAAAGTTTTTGTTGACTCATTTTAAATCTTATAACTGTCATTGACCCAGATAAGACAGAATATCAAATTTTTTGGAAAAATAAATAGGGGATTTATAATGAAAAGAAGTCTAACAAATCTCTATTTTGTCCTGTAGTAACCCACGCGATGGGCTTTTTGACCCCTCAGAACTCCTGTATGACATGAAGCAATAGTTTCTTTTTGAGCTTAAAGGACAAAATGTTTTTCTACCTGTTCAAACTATTCGTGCACATTGTCACAAGATTCCTTTCAAGTATTTTTGTTTACTATTGTTATAGTGATCCAATTATCATTATTAACTAACATTTATAGTTGTTTCTTCTTCCTTTCTTTTTTTTCTTCCATGGACGCCATGTTGCACTTTTTCTTCTTACTATTGATAGTGCATAAAGAAATCGTACATTTTTTTCAATATAATCAAACTTATGGAGTTATTAACGACAGCATCATGGACGTCTTTGGTAAAAAACGGTCATTTCGATTAGTCATTCAGTCATTTTGGACTCATATCACTCAACTCATTTTTTTTTGATAAATCAACAAGCACAAGAAAAGCATATTTTTTTTCTTTTACGTAATTCTTCTCTTTATGGCAGAACAGAATGTGCGTTTAAGGAGCTACGGCCAGGCAAGTAGAAAACTAGAAAGGTGAAAGATCAAGATAAAAAACAACTTTAACGCCTCTAGTTTTCGTCTCCCCATGTAATTAAATAATCTTTACTTGTTGTTTTTTTAGATCATCTGTTTTTATTGATTGAAATTTAAATAAATTTTAGTCAATTTTAAATTAGTTGTACATACGTCAAAGTGTAAAAATATTGAACATTATGCGTTATCTTTATAGTTATGTTTGTACTTTCTAAAATGAGTTTGAAGGATTGAAAAGTAACGATAGATTGTACATTTTTACGTGATTATCAAATAGACATTTACAACAGAAGAAGTGAGTTCTTTATTTTCCATATTTAGTTTGCTATACCTCAAATTTGTTTTTAATGTCTATCAGTGTTATCGATATTGACTGCAATATCGAGCTTTCCAAGGGCCTTACCTTAGAATAATACTATAATGCAAGTTTAAGCGTGAATGTATCTTTGCTCACAGCAAATAATATTTTATCGGTAAAACTTATAGGACGATCAAAAGATAGCAATCTGAGACATTTTTATTTTTACATCAGAAATAAAAATAAATATCTAGAACCTGCTGCGTGCTGTCTTTCAACCAGGGATACAGATCCAAAGCAGGAAAATCAGAAGAGCATAAACGAGGCAGAAAAGGTTCCAAAAATCAGAATTTTTCTGCTAACATCAGAAGATCTGGGATCCCTCCTTTCAACATCACTTCTACTAAAACCGACAAAAATTTAGAGATAACGAAAATTCAGTTAATAGGAAAGTAAATTTATAATTGTTTGAATGTACCATGTTCTCAAAGATAAATCCGAATTGAATATGATGCATTCAAAACAGGGGGGTAACTACTTATTTTCAAAAAATTGCTTTTATTCCCGGTAAAAGGATTTTTTTAATAAGATAACTGTGAAACTTATGTAAAAAATCCGTATGATTAGAAACTTAGAATTTTGGAATATTTACATGTAGGTAGCGCCGCAAATTTGTTCATAAAGTAACGCCTATTCCCCTGGAGGGTGTTTCATAAAAATTCTTAAGTACTCGACTTAACTAAATCTAGACTTAAGTCTCCGTCTTGTAAACTTACGTGTTAATTTTATACACTTAAGTCTAGACTCACGAAGGAACCTTTCGAGATGTAACCTTCCCTCTCCAATGATTTATACATGGATCGATAGACTTCAGTGAGATATTAAATATTTTAAAAGGGTTCGTGCCCATGACTCTTGAAGACCCGGTTTTCTAAAAAACCAGTTTTTCAAGAACTCTAAAAAATAACCTCAACCTTTTTTAATGATGCATGATTGTAGCCCGCAAATATCTGGTTAAAATGAGACATCTACCGGCTCTACACGACCTTTCTTTGCAAAGTTATAGAATTTACAAGAAAAGCCATAAATGTTCATTGTCAGCTCAAAGCTACAGAAATAAGAAGAAATTAATCTAGGGCTTTTCTTGTAAATTCTATACCTTTGCAAAGAAAGGTCGTGTAGAACCGATAGATGTCTCATTTTAATCAGATATTTACGGGCTACTATCATGCCTCATTAAAAAAGGTTTAGATTATTTTTTAGAGTTCTTGAAAAACTGATTTTCCAGAAAACCGGGTCTTCAAGAGTCATGGGCAAGAATCCTTTTAGGATATCTAATATCTCACTGAAGTCTATCGATCCATGTATAAATCATTGGAATCGGAAGGTTACATCTCGAAAGGTTCCCTCGTCAGTTAAGTTGAGCACTTAAGAATTTTTATGAAACACCCTCCTGCCTTTTAGATTGACGTGCGCCGCTATTCCGAAAAACAAATAAACGTTTGAGTATTTTATAGTTTGTGCGTTTTATGAGTTTTTTATTCAACTGATTGCTTGTGTATTTTAAATACAAAAAAACTTTACTTGAATGTCCGATTATTCTACAATCATCGATGAACTATCCTTAATTAAAATTCATCTTTTATTTGGTGGATAGAGTGCGCATATGCTTTACACAAGATCTTATTTCCCTTAAAAGTTTAGATTATGCGGATGAATCTAATAAGGAACTTCCATCGACACTGTTTCTATCAATAATTATTTCAATAAAATCGTTTTTGATAAAAAACGTTTCGATGAAAATTTAGTGAGTCGTGATATCTATCCATCATTCTGGGGCAGTTTCTCATTGTAAATTAGCAATGATGCCACAATGTAATTGTCACTTGCTGTAACGGAAACCGTCGAAATTTTTTCGAAAACTGATAGTCCATTTATACATCCAAGCTAGCAAAATAGAACAGTGCATGACTTCACGAATGTGGTGACTCATCAGTGAGTATATCACTTTTAATCGATAAGAAACTACCCATTTTTTTATTTCTTATAATCATAATTAAACCTCATATTTTTGACTAATGTGTAGGTCAGAGATCCGTATGGGTCGAAAATTTTTTTGCCGAAATTTTCTAGCTTTGTCCGTGCTGATCTCTGATTTAGGCGTAGGTGGCTTGTCATGTTACATATATTTTTCTATTTTTCATTCATCTTTCTACTAAAATACCACCTATTTTTCTTTATAGCTTTGTAACAGAATTAAATAACTACTTATAGAATCGGTGATGAATCATCTAAACACATACAGTTCTGTCTATCGTGATTGTTTTTTTCTACGAAAAATCGGAATACTTTTTTCTCTTTTTTTGACACATGTTACTTTGATATTGAGTCAAAGTATGTTTGATGTCGTTGGATTCATTTAAAGAAACCCATTATAATTATAGTTTGTTTGTTGAATCTTATGTTAGATTGAAGGCATCTTTACATTTTTATGAATGGATAAAGAGAGAGAGAGAGACAGAGATGCTCATCTTTAACAACTGATGTATTTGTATTAAAATTAACAGGTCATAATTACCTTATATACAAATAAATTATGTCTAGATTCATTTATCCATGACAAATTATTGATGTTTAATTAGTCGAGTGTCTATACTTCTTTCGTTCTCATCTATTAGACAACAAAATTAATGTACGTATAATTTTATAAGTAGTCATTTAATCTAAAATTTTACTGATAAACATAAATCGTGTTACAGTATTTGGGAGTACGCATTGTTTCGATTGTTTTAACGTTCTTTTCTACAATATTTATTTACGATGTCATCTGATGCTTTATTTTCAACCTACTTCATTGACCCAAAATGTATTTGGAGAAATTTTTATCAGTTGTATTTGATTATTTTCTCGTTATAGTTTTGCAAATTAAAATATCGTAGTGGTTAGGGCTCTATCGTGGAAAGGAATTAATGTCTTCTTTACTCATCGACATATTTTTGATTTTTTTGAAAAATAAAATCTTTAAAGAAATAAACAATTATCATTGGATTGAGGCTAAATTATTTCTTTTTCTATGTTTTTCTTCTGTATTCTCAATAATAAGTGATTGAATACGAATGCATATTTTCGATATGATAATGTACGCCGACTGATACAACATCTTATATTATGCTGTACTTCTGACACAGCTGGACAAGAACAATTTATGTTTAAATACAATATCAGTTGGATTGGTATTTCAATAATAAACACAGAACGAATGATGAACCTGTTCAAGGAATTGATTCAATTATCTTATTGACTGATTCCATGATTGTGATGCTATCCTAACAAAAATAACAAGGCCAGTCGGCTATCCCTTAACAACACCAGGTGACGACAGATTATTTTACGTTATCCACGAGACGTTATGTAATAAATGAATTCTGAAATAAGAAAAATAACAATTATCATGTATTGAACATAGGACTTGATAACAGTAGTAAATGTTATATTCGCGACGGGAGCTATTTAGAATTACAATATAATACCATGTCTCTTTCCGCATTTAACACAAATGGAGAATCGAAGGAAATAATTTTGAAAAATGTTTTGGTTTTCACAAACTAAATTCTGTCAAATTTTAATGTATATCGTCCATCAATGCGACCATCGTTCGATATACAATGTACTATTGCACGTGAATCGAATAAGCGTCGAAATTGTATGTGCTATTACTACGAATGGTAACAACATACAGTCAGCTATTACACCTAGTATAATCTTCAATCATGTTCATTATATTAAAGAATCAAAATATTGACTAAATTTAGCATTGCATGTCACTTGTTATTATTCGAGTTTCAATCATCCTTTTGGAACCTTGAAAAAAATCATCAAATTCATGAATGTTTTTCTAAGACATCTATTAAACAAACGTATTGAAGTCATAATATCAGACGGAGAAATACAAGTCTAGGTGAAAAAACCGCTGTTATCCATCGTGCTCACAAAAATCATATGGTGACATTTTTGGTTCCGATGGACTAATTTATTGATGACGTTAAAACAAATTCTTTTACTCAAGCTTATTTAAAGATAATTATTATCGATTTCATCGTACTATTATTTACTGTCTCCTGTTCTTTGTTTCGATAATGAAACCATACATATAACAATTGTAGTCAACAACGTATGATAACATTAGATATTATGAAAATATTTAACACATTTCTTGTCAAATTACTCTACAGTTGAGCGAACCATACCAAGATTTTAAAAATTACGTTTCAGCCCATGGTACAGTTTGAAACATGCCAAGAACAAAGTAAATTTTCTACTACAAAAGATTATTTAGTTCACATTAGTGTCTAACGAATTTGCTTCACAATATTATCGATTGTTATTCTTGGATGATGTCGATGAACCATTCGATGATGACATCAAGTATCATTGCGAAATGTGAAGAATAAGAGCGATGGGCTTCGAATAACAGTAAAGCATTGAAAGAAATATTTAATATTCACAGATTTCAGTCAACTGTTTGACGTCTATCTAGTTTTCATCGCGATAATCCGAAGATCTTTTTCGACTATACACCTGGTAGAAACGTACTTGAGAAATTCGATTAAACAATCTGGCATTGTTACACATGTACAGAGATATTGTTGTTTTGAATATGGATGAAAGTAGTAGATGGGTAATATTAATTTGCTAAAACAAACAGAAGAATTAAGCTGCACAGACAACTAAGAAATAATTGTAGTACAGAATATATGCTAAATAGTAGTTTTTTGGGAGTATTCTTGTTTCGTCAACAACTCACTCTCACAAGGCTTCTCCCGCCTTTGAAATTCTTTGAAGTGCCGATTGTAGACAGAATGTACGGTAGCATACCAGATCCTGTCCCGAAGAAAATCTTTTATACATACAGTACGGTATGGTACAATTCTTTATATCTATCCGACGGGATTATGTCATATATTGAAGAACATCAGAAACAAAAACAATCAAAGAAATTTGTCTTCAGAACCATGAACAATCGTGAGTTATAAAAGGTGATTACACTTTATTATGAAGAATAATATAGATATATGGACAGTTTGATGTTATTGTGTAGAAAAGACACAGGTAAATAGTTGATTTTCGCACATTTTGTGTATTTTGCCTTATTCATCCAGTCTTCTATTTTAATGAAAGTAACGGTAACTGAAAAACAAAATAAGATCTGTGTTCTAGGGGTAGTCTAAATTTTTCTTTAAATAGCAGAGTACGGTATGATAAATCTTATTCTGTCACATTTTATTCACATATAATATTCAATTAAAATTTTTCTATTTTATTTGATGACGCACCAAAAAAGAATGATGCATCTCCTCAAAAATATGTTAGTCTATAGGTTTTTTTGTACAGCCGTTTCTAGTCAGTACAATACACGACTGTCTATGCAACAATAGAAAAAGAAAAATAGTAGTGACTCCCATTTGGTCTATAGGCCAATATAATTAGCATTTTTTACAGACTATGCATAGATGTACAAACTATTCATTTTTTTAGAAACGTTCTGTTCAATTTCCATAAAAAAAATTATAGGTTATTCTTGTCAGGTACTGTACTTTTTGTCTTTCTCTTTTAACTTTTTCCAACATTTTTTTTTTTGTTTCTAAAATGTATAGGCTATTAATGTGCACGTCTCCTATGTTTTACTGCACAGATGTTACAAGTCTGTTGTGAAGGTAGACAAAATTTGTATTAAAAAAGAGCAAAAAGAAAAAAAGACTCTCTCTTTCTCATACACTATCAGATATAAATCTAACTTTTAAAATCATATAAATTTATATTGTACGATTCTTTATACAATTTCTTGTTAGTACTTTAATTTTCAATAAAAAAAACTTAAAACTCATTAGAGTCTATTGAGAGTGATGAACTCGACTCCTGAGTAAAAGAAGAGAAAAGTTTTTTATAAGATGATAAATAATGTAAATTGAAAGGTAGGAATTCTGTTTTCTGTTAAGGAGTAGTTTATTATTATTTGTATCACAAATAAAGACATTTTTTCCTCAAGACATATGATTTATTATGGTTCTTTGAAGTGTTCATTTTTATTTTTTTTTTACTGTGTACTTCTTATTATTGATGTGCACTATTTTCTTACGGATAGTTCATCATATCGTAATAGAACTCTTCATCAAGTAAATATATTACCTCTCAGCTACTCTATAAATGTTTAATCGATAATTGTAAACACTAAACATTAATGCTTGACTGTTATATGTCAGATAATTAATTCATCATCTTTTTGTACAAATTTTTTTCTATAGTCCTTTCTCTGGATAAAATTGTGACAGATATGGATGGATACATTTGTCTTTTTTTTTTTTTATGACAAATTTTTCTCCTCTTTTACATCGGTATGTGAGAAAAGATAAAAAGAAAAAATAATAACAGAAAAGGTATTATAAGAATTTTGTATGTGTGTGTGTGTATATATATTGGCAATGAACTTCTGTCTTCATTGCTGCTACTACTACTATTACTACTGCTAAATTTTCATTCTATTCAAACGGAAGTATATATGATTATACTTATAAGTACGTATGTGTATGGATGTGTATTGAAAGAAGAACAGAAAGCATTTTCACCGTTTAATTGGAGTGAGTGTGTTAAATACAGAAGAGAAAGAGAGAATGATTCACTGTTACATCATACTAGTAGTCGAAGAGTCAAGTCGAATAGCATAAATTGTTTGGTAAGAATAAACTAGAGAAAAAAAAATGAAAAGTAAATAATCATGAAACAATAGATAAACATAGACTTATACACAATAGGTTATGAATTCAATATATATCTGGAAGATGACTTTCTACATCAATTTTCATTTCTATCATAGTAAATAGTAAACGATTTTATTATGAAATATCTCTTTGATATTAATGTACCATCTTTTTTTCTCTAATGATCGATGAATATCTTGTATTTTAGATAAAATAGAATTCAATTGTAACTTACACCATCTTGAATCATTAAATATTTTTATTTTGTACAGTATTCTTATTAAACAGTGATGAAACAATTATTCCTTCTTGTCGTCAATTAAAGCAAATGGATTTAGATTTAAGTCAAGTATTTAATATACTGGATGAAAATAATGAAGGAAGAATACGTATTGCAAGATTTATTGATATAGCTCAAAATTATTATTCAGATGCTGAAGTAAGTAAAGATAAAAAAAAATTTTTTTGACAGTTAGGTCTTTTTCGATATTCTTAATATTTTAAATATGTCGGTCTTATAAAATCGATCAACTTTTTTTTTAGTATTTAAGTCGTCCAATATTTGACTACATTCGAACTGTGTACTCATTTCTAACTCCATCTAAAGTGTCTGTTTTTAATACAGTAGGCATACATCAGAGCTTTTTCTACTAATTAACTCTTTTTTTGCATTGCTTATTGTCATTCTCGAGTCATAACAAAGCCTTATAAAGGAACAAACGTCCTTTCCTCCTGTTTTTAGAATGATGGAAGACTTATCAAATTATAAATAAATATTTTGAAAAAAGTTTTTTGAAAAATTGACCTTAGGAAGTTAATAACAAAAATTTCATCGCAAATCGACTGTACTCTTATAGATTTTTGTACGACTTGATGTTGTTTGATACGCCAATTTTGAATATATTATTTATTTTGATTGAAAATAGTTTTTATATGAAAGAAAAAAGACGCCTGTAAGTGTCGTATGATGTGGATCATTTGACATCGGTTCGTTGTCAATAAAATCAATATAGAGTTCATTTTTGTGAAAATTGGTAGTTTACAAGTTATATAACAACTAAATGACAAAGTTTTCGTTTTGAATTAATCTTTTATGCGTGATAATGTCTGTCTACACATAACAGAAAAAAGGTGCTTGAAAACGTAAGAAGAAAAGAAGAATTGAACCATTTTTTATTAAAATAAATTTACAGTTGATTAAGTTTCCTTTCTTAATAATACTAAGAGATAAATCAGTTTATTCTCATGAATGATCGTATTTAGTCGCTGTGATACAGAGAGTCAGCTATTTTGTATTCTGTTCATTTATGGACTGATCAATCTTATTACATCTTTAAGAAATTCTTTATTTACTTACAGCAGCTGTTTAAACCAACTGTGTGTTATCTTTTTTATGATTATCTCGCTATTATTTTATATTGAACACGTTTTACCTTGAATAGATTTTTGTTTTTTATTAAAATAATGATGAGAATAATTAGAAATCGAATACTCGTAGTTGAAAATAGTAATTTTTGATTTCTCTTTTTTACTGTTATTAAAAAGTTTCAGGTAACACACAAAAAAAACATGATTACACATGTAAAGGTCAGTTGTACTGTTCTTTTCTGTATTATTTTTTTAAATTGAAAAGTCATATTTATACACTATGATAAGTATGTTCTTTATGAATATTGGGTGAATGGCTGAATGTTCATCTAAATACTTTATTGTAAGAATGAATTAAATCTTTATTCGCTATTACTCTTTATATCCTTGGTTTTTCAATTGCTCCCTGTAACATTCATAGAAAATTATTGTGATTATGAGATGAATGAAACGTGAACCTTATACTCAAATAGTTTTGTGTTGCTAGAATATAACTATATAGTTCAATGCGACTCAACTGTAATTTGTTGTGTATTTTGTATTTATATCCAGTTGTGCTTGTTATTTAAAAAGTTTTTATTATTTTTTTTCTCTCTTTCTGTTCTCTTGTTGTTCCATTAGTCATTTCTGTTATTGAATATGTCCTTTTACGATGATACTTGACATAATGCAACACATATTGTACATTGTTTATATATTTCAGTAAAGTAATCATTTTTATGTGTAATTCTTTTTAGCAACTTGCAAGTATAACAAAAGCGTTAGATCCAACAAATTCTGGTTTAATTAATTACGAACAATTTTGTGATGGTATGTAGCGTGAAATAGCTTTATGTGTTGTCGTTGTTTGTTATATAAATATATTATTTGATGTTTTTTAGGTATTACACAAATAAGTTCTCTACAAGGATTAACTTGGAAAGAAGTTGCATCTGATTTATCGAGACGAAGTAGAGAAAATTCATTAGTTGAAGATCCAGATCGTCGTAGCCTTGTACGTTTGAAGTTAAACTTATTTTTAAATCTATTTTCATCGTATCCCGTTTGTTTCTAGCGTATCGATTCATTGAAAGATGCGGATCTTTTTTCTTTGCCATGGACATCAAAAGTAATAAAGGAGGTGAAGAGGCTAGCTAAGCAATAATCGACCACATATTTTTGCTATTGTTTGCCGCAATAGGTTGCGGAAAAGAGATAAAAGAAATTTCGCTATACTGGTGATTAAACCTCACGTTTTTTTATTGTGCGAAGCTTATGTGGGGAAAAAGTGGTGAAAACGCTCTAAATTTTCTCTTATTATTCGTTTTCAAATATTTTTATCCCATATTTGTTTAGAATCAAGACGGATCAACGACTACATTTATCGAATACGACGACGACGAAAGTTTCCTCCCAAATCATCATCATCCATCTCGAACACCTCCAACCATAAACACTAATAGTTCAATATCGACCATACTAAACAATAATCACGTTAACAATATTTCAAACAACAGCATTGACTCTAGACAGTCAAAGTCAAACCATATAATGTATGTTTTAACAAGAGCTATTTAAAACTAAATTATCTGATTTTCTATCTTTAATATAGAAGAGATCCCGAAGAATATACTGGAAACGGAAATAGCTCAACAGATTCTGGAATAGTTCAACGAACACCACAACGTCTTTCGTACGTAAACAGTCACTGTTCAGTTTGACATAGATCTATTTAGTTCGATGATAAATAGCAGCTTCTTTTCGTTCATTGGACTAGTTTTAGTCTTTCGTCTTGTTTTAAATACGCCAGTGTAATACGGATTTTAGCACAAGACAACTGGTTTGATGAATGTAGAATACTGAATTATATGAAAAGTCATGAAAAGAAAGCATGTGATCATAATAGACTTTTTCTTTTCTGTAAAGATGCCATACTATTTACATTATTTAATATGTACAGTTACATAACTTTTCTTTCTTTTCATTCTTAAACATTATTTGAAAATAGTAGAAACTGTTATAGTTAGAGAGGATATGTGGTGATCAGTTTTAAACTATGTATATCTCTTTCAAAACTTGATTAATTAATGTGGAACTTTCGTAAAATGTTATTATAACTGTTATTATAACTTTTGTTCAAAAATGATTGCTCTTAAATTCCTCAAATACTGATCTTTGAACAGAATATATTTTGCTAAAATATTCTTAATCTCAGGATATTTTCGAGAAAAACCAGCTTCTTGTCTATATTTCGAAATGTGTCTGCTTCAATGTATTCATATTCAACAGTCGTATAAGACGAAATGTTTTCTCTGAAACAAAAGAAGTTGAAGAACTTCGTGTGACAGATCTTGCTCGTTAGAGTGTGAGCTTTTTAATTATGAATTGAAAGTCTAAATTTGTGGGAGTGGTAGATTTGAAGTCTTAACTGGCGACGTCCTTTATATTAACTCTTTCTCTTTGGCGAATAAGAGGACAAAAATCATAGTTTATTTTAGAGTACTGTATACGTAAATTGCGTGAGAAGGTAGAATTCACATTGATTTAACTCAATAATGAGTTCGATTTTTTCTGAGCTCGTCATCTACAAAAACTGCATGATCTTTTTACATATAATTATTTACTTTTTCCTAGCTATGAGAGCAACTACGAGCAGTTGACTTCCAGTTATAGGAAAGAACTGACTAAAAGATTATAGTTTGATGATGTTAGAAATCATCTCAAATTTTCACATTCTCAGATGATTTAATCCTAATTTCACTAGAATTTTAAAGATTCATCTCACACTTCCAGATAAAGAGATTTATAGATGAGAAATTTGTAAATCGTATCGAGTTACGTATGTATAAAAACTTATAAGCCTAAAAAAGTTAGTTCTCGTAGAGAAATAAGACTTTTAATGGCGAAAAGCTGATATCTCTAGATTTTCATCGAGATGTAAATAATTTTACGTGTTAGAGAATTTTTATTTTCTAGTCAATTGGGTCACTTGAAACGAATTAGCAGCAATCAGACGAATTTTAATCAAGTGCCGCTGTCAAACGAACTTGATCACCAATTACAAGAGACAGTAAGTATAAAATGTTATCTATTTTCTGCTCTACGTTATGTATATGAGAAAGGCATCATGTGCAAACTAAATCTACTTTCCCTCAGATCAATATTGAAATACCAGTAAAAAAAAATAGGTCAGCATTCAAATTTATTATTATTGTTCGTTATACAAAATGATGGTTAGAGTTTAGATAGAATATTTCGTTTAAAAAAAAAAGTTGCTTGAGATCTGTTATCCTTCAACACTAATTTTTTAAATATTCGCTTAATTTTAATATTCACTTTTAATTTCTTCTCCAGGTCGAAGAACTTCGTGGCGACGTTGAAACACTAAGAGAACAAAAGCATACTACAGCAGAGCGTCTATCAAAAATACAAGTAGAAAATACACTTTTAAAACAAAAGTATTAATACATGGTTTCCTTCAAGAATCTTTCAGTTCGATCATTCTTTAATTTCGTTTTAGATTAGTTGCACTCGAGGAAGGTTTACTCGATCTACAATCACAACAAAATAAATCAGTTCAATCTGAACAACAAAGATATAATGAATTGATTGTATGTAGAAGGCAAATATAGTTGAAAGAATGTTATAAATTTGATCTTAATTGTTTAGACACACAACGATCGTGCATTTTCACGTGAAAAAGATACATTACAATCAAGGTAAAAAGAAATCACATTTCAAAATAGATTTATTTTTGTTCAAAAGCGTATTTTGATAATTCATTGTAAATCGATAAGATTATATATTGAATATGTATTTTAAATTTATGATAATTTTAACGTTTCTAATGTCGTGTAAGAACTAGATTGACTGATTATGCTATTGTACCTCGATCAAACAAGTGGGTTTTTGTATTTCAATATCATAGAACGTTCCATAAACCTTTATTTCTTAACATTTTGTTGGCGATCATATTCTCTCAAACAATATTTATATTATTTTAGTGTCATGAGGTTGGTTAAACTACGATTTCTATGTGTGCTTTATCTATGTTCACCATTAGTTTAACCTTCTTATTATTTCTTCTTTTTCTGTTGTTTATATATTCTTTTAACCTTCTTATTTTTTCTTTACCTGTCTGTTGTGTATATTTGTGTTGCACATATATCTATCTACTTGCGTAGATTCACTGTCACCCATAAAACATTAGGTGTTCTAGAATGTGTGACTGCTTATTTTGCAGCTTTGATGCAACGCTCTATTTTTACTAGTCTCTTATCCTATCTGCCAAATTGCATGTTAAAAACTAAATGTCTAGTGGTGTCAGTCCATTTTAACAAAAAGTTATTATCAGTCTAAATTACGATCAGATGACCATTCTTCTTCTACTTTCTTGTTCAGCTAACAAAATAAACTGTACTCTAACTAATATAATCAGCACTAAATTACAGACAGTAGTGGGAAGATACAAAAGAAAACCTTCCATAAATTGTTCCATTGCTTAAGTATAATTCTGACGGGCACAGTCGCGATTTTTCAGAGTATTCTGTTATGACGTTGCCTTCAGATCTCTCTCTGTCAAGCATAAATTTGATGATGATAATGACAGCGTCATACGATCAGGATTTCCGATGGGTTTTAGTCAGCATAGGGAAATTTTTTTGACAGACAGTCTTTTTTGAAGAAGTGAAACGTTAGCATACGTACGTCAATATTTGATAAACAATCGGAACCTAGAAGATCAATTTTTCTAATAGACAGCTTATTGGCTACGAATCAACCTAGCTTCATGCATAAACGCGATTTCACTTGTCAAGTTCGGGGGAGCACGGTTTTCGCCGACACCCGATTACAGTACAACTGCGTTTTCTATTATGTAAAACGCGGTTGTACACCTAACGATTAAACGTAATGCTGGATAAGTGATGTACTGTACAATGTAAATTCTCTAGGATATTTGGTTTTTGAGCATTTTTAAGCCTTCGCCATTCCAAACACTACACAGTTTTTGCAATTTTTTTCTTGATTATCAGTAGTACTCGAATTACTCTATGAGTTGTAGTACTTTCCCGACGCGTACAACGAGTACTGTTGATACTATAAATGCTTAAAGTTACGGGAAAACGAAAACTATTTGAAAGAAACAGAATTTGTGAGAGAGACAATATATATAAGGCATCGATTTTTTTTTTATAAATTCGTGACGCTTTTTTCTACTTTCCATTGGATGGAAGTAGGCACTTATAATTTGTTTGATTCATAAAAAATTTCGACAAGTTTTGGCAGGGCAAAATCTGGCGTTCAGAGTCAAAACTTAGAGCGAAGGGTGACCTGTTTCCCTACCATAATCGAATCTCTTCTCACATAAGATGAGCTAAATGATCACGCCAAAGAAGAACAGTCGGTTTTTAACAAAATAAGAACTGTTCTTCGTATTTCAGTCACTGATTGAGCAGAAGTTCAACTTATCCTGAAATATATAGCTAAATGCCTATTGGAATTTATACATTAGTGGGAACCGCCCATTTTAGTCTTCTAGCATTCTCTAAACTTTGTGAGATCTAAGAAAAATGCTATAAATCATTTTAACTTGTTTTTGATCAATTTTCGTTTTATGTGCATATGTATTTGTTTATTTGTAGTTGTTTGTAATTTATTCTTTCAAACTTCTATCTCATGTAACAAAATTTTACCCTTTTTTTCCTTCATTTATTAATTAGGATAAATACCATAGAACTTGAACTAAAGCAAACTCAACAGGATAATGGCTTGTTAAAAAATAGTATGAAAACTTTAAATAAGGTAGGTTGATCACTTTTTTTTTAAATTTTGTTTTTGTTATTTTATTTTGTTACACAAGAATTTTACGTATTTGTTTGTTTTCTTATAGAAAATTGAAAACCTTGATGATCTATTGCAAGATAGTCAAATGAATTGCGATAGTTTAGCAGAAGATAATGCAAAACTGATGGAGCAGTTACGATTAGAACATGAAGAACTTGAACAAGAGAGAATTATTAGTGCTCAAGTATGAAATAGTTTTCATACTGTGTAATTAAATATTGTCTATTTTTTTTTTGTTCTAGCTTGCTGAACAATTGACGTTAGATTCATCAAAACAAAAATTTGGTCGTACACTAAGTCGAACCGAGAGTATTATAAAGAATTCAGAAACAAGATTACAAGACCTTGATTCACAAATGAGATCATTAAAACAAGTATGCTGAATAAACATACATAGATCTGTATAGATTGTTGTTACATGCTTTACTTATTTAAGGAAAATGAGCGATTAAGACAAGAAAACAAAGAACTTGAGGGACGCTTACTGAGTGCACATTTCAATGAAGGAAGATCGTTATTAAATACGACCGATGAATCTTGGGCATCAGAATTAGAAATATTAAGTAAAGATGAGGTACGTAGTTTAACTCAATTAACTGGTTCTTGTAACAAGTACATAGTCAGTTTCTAAATTTTGAATTGGTTTTTTATGGCATGTTAAGCATGCAAGCTCTAAGATATCAGTTTATTTTTCTGATATAAGTTTATGCGCTCGTTTTGCTGTGTTGACTTATTTGTCATTTTCTTGCTCAGAAGTTTTTCTTTACCTAAAATAGAATTGATGCTATTTTCAGGAACATAAACTAGCTCGACTGTACACATCAACTTTGAAAAAAATATTCAGGAATAAAACTTTCTTTCAAATGAAAATTTTCTAAAGATTTTAATGTTTCTGGTTCTTTGATTGTGTGAAATTAATTCAAGCTTGAAGATTTAAATCAGAGATTTCTTTTTTTAATTGTTTGATAGTAGTATTTCTAACAAATGAGATTTGTAGCTCGATTGAAGCTACAATCTACTGATTTTAAAAAATGAATCCCAATATTTGTAGCTAATGAAGAAATTGAGAGAACAATTTTGTATTAATGATCGGTACCGAGAATATATTGAACGAATGTTAACTGTCATAATGGAGAACAATCCACAATTACTTGAAATTACATGTTCGGCTAGTGGTTTATCTATTGGAAGCGGAATGTCAACCTCAGGTACCCCAAAAGAAGTTTCTACTTCATTGCCTCCACTCACTTCGTCACAATCAGTTCCGCCACAATCAGCTCCGCAACCAACAACAATAACAAGAAAAATGTCATATCCGCAAACAACAACAGTTGTTTCCACAACTTCAACAACAAATTCTAAGGATGACAAGTACTGCCGCCTGTAATCGGTCGAGCCTTTCTATATTTAAGCTTATTCTGCTATTTTAACATAACGTAACATAAAAAATTCCATCACATCCCCATTGTTACTCGTAGCGATGTCTGCTTATTCGTCGTTTTCACTAAATAGTCTGCTTCTTGTTCACTTTATTTATTCGGTTCAAATCTTACTGTATTATTTTGTAGTATGTAACTGGCTGCTGGTGCTTATAACGTGCTCCTTGTCTCCTTTTTGCACCTATTGTGTAATTTCGATTGTTATTTGAACAAGTCTAGAATTATTTAATACTTCACATACTGCTCTTCTGCCATTTTGCTTTTATGTTTTAAATTAGAATGCATCATAAGAATCTGAGAAGTAGTCTGAAAATCGATAATCTAATATTATTTTTCAAATGCTAATGATATGTGTATAGAAATATTATCATTGACCTTTCAAATGGAATACAGAAGGACTTTAACTAGCGTTGTTGCATGAGATGAATTCTCAATATTTTTTTTATTATGCTTGCTCCTTGTCGTATACATTTTGTTTTCTTTTCTCATGTATAAATAATGAATCCATTAATACAATTTTTTGTTTTCATTTAGCTCCTAAAACGTTTGAATAACGAACACAACACAACCAAGCGTCTTCGCGATTACATTGACACACTTTTACTTGGTATTTTAACAAATAATCCAACAATGTTAGAAAAACAATAATTTTTTTCTATTAAAAAAAAATATATTTCAGTTTATTTTATCATACTTATCTATTTCCATTTTGTTTTATTTACCGTCCAATCAATTTTGTATTTTAATCCATTAATAGATTCAGAATTATTTTATCACATAGCTACAGTGATAAAATGAATCTCTCTCTCTCTCTCTCTCTTCCTTTTATGTCTCGAGTTTCGTCCAATTATGCATTTTATCCAATGTAAATTATTTTTATTATGTGATGAGAATGTTTGTTTTTGTTTTGTTCGTTATACCGTCTCGATAGTTAAAGGCGGGTTTCTAAGTGCTCGAAAATACTTTTAATTCATTATATCATATCTAAAACTGTTTCCGTCCGTAACAGTTTTTTTTTGCAACTGAGCTTAGGTCAAAATTAATGCCAATTATGTTTATAAACTATAACCATTCCCTAACTTTGCTATGAATAACAACCTGTTTTTCTAAATACTTAGTCTTTGATAAATGACAATATCATCTAAAATATTTTTTTTTTCTTATTTTCACGCACACGTGTAATTGTACATTGGTTTTCTTTTCTATTTCTCTTATATTTTGATTACATTACTGCAAATTTTGACAAAGCCTATTTTCTTCTATACATTCCATATAACCATGGCAGTGAAATGAATACATTCATGCATACGTTGTTCTATTGGGTTTTCTTTTTCCTTTGTTTCTTTTATTTCATACAATGAATGCATCATTTTCTCTTTTTCAACGATTTTTTCTAATTTTGTTTTTATGTTGTTTTCTTCATTTGACTAGGAGCTTTGGCTAATTGACTACATATGTCTCAGTAAAAATTATGCAAAAAACATTATAATAAGAAAGAACAATAAGCTTTTTTTTTTATTCCTTTATTTTGACAAATTAATTTACAAAAAAACATCATTTAGGTGGAAAAAGAGAATTTTTTGATATTCAACATGTATTTGCTCATTCGTTTAGTAATCTGTTTTTTTTGTTTTTTTGGAGAAGGATAGTTGTGAGAAAAGATCAGTATAAAAATCTGATCATTTTTCGTTTGCCGAGGGAAATGATCTTTTGTGATTACACTGCTCTAGTTTAGTGTACGAGATAGTTTCATCAATATTTTTTATGAATCAAAACATCATTCTTCTTTCGCTCATTGCACAGTTCTCGTCTCTTCTTATATCGTTGTTGTTTGATTTTTCTTAGAATATATTTTGTTTACATCCGGTTTTACTTTGTCTGTTTTTGGATGCAACTGAAAAATCTTTTATATCATATCGATTATCATCCTGTAAACAAAAATGCTATATATATATATATATATATATTTTTTTGTTTTGTTTTGTTTCTTCATACCGGAGCTAGTCGTTGTTGTTTTTTTTATGAAGTATTTCAACAATGTTTCTTCATGCATGATTTTTCATTTGTTCTGAAAACAAATTCCATATAATTGTTCTTACCGATTTTATTGAGATCATTTATCGTTGTTGTATTTTTTAGTTGTTTTTGTTGTTATTGTTGTTAGTGTTCAGTTTTAATACACTTGTTGATTATTGAGAAATGAAGTAAATAAACTAAGCGTATGGAAGTCACGATATGTTATCATGATTTTTTTACCTTTTTACTAGGTACTACATTAAAAACTTCTCTTGTAATCATTATTATTAGATTTAATTCAGGATTTTTGATATAAATATTTATAAAATATAACAACAGTAAATATATTTTTTCTTATAAAATATTTTCAAACGACCGTTTCAAAATGATTTGACAAAACGCCAGATAAATATTTTTTAAAGTTCACAAACACTACAAATTTAAGAAGTAATTCATTCGAAAAATAAGAAAAAACATTGTTTTTTCTATATTAAGTCATTTATGTTAATGATATTAACTCCGATAGATTATCTCAAAAAATTAATATCAGATTCATAAATTGTGAACAAAACTGCACTAAATAAAGTATTATTCAATGGTTTAAATAGTGAAAAAACTGTTAGCAGGCTGTATTTATTCCTTTCTCGAAGTTTTTTTTATTTATAAGCCAATGTACGTACTATTGTCTAAGTTTAAACTAATAGCCAGTATATTCATTACAAAACATAATTATGCCAACATAGGTTAATGAGAAGGAACAGGTAAAAAATATTTGTTTTAGAACTTTCTGAATAGATTGATAGAGATAGGCATGTCGAACGTTAACTCATGCACAATAAAGTATATAGTTATCGAAAAATACTAGCGAAAAAAACCTTGAGTCTAATATAATTCACATAATCATGTTTTGTAGCGAATGTACTGGCTATTAGTTTAAAGTTAGACAATGGTACGTATATTGGGTGACAAATAAAAAATATCTCAAGGATAGAATAGATGCACTCTCCTATTTACACCATTGAATAATACTTTATTTAATGCAGTTTCGTTCACAGTTTATGAATCTGATATTCATTTTTTGAAATAATTTAAGCTAGTTTAAGAAGCTTTCCAACTTAATGTCTGTTTTTGGTCAGTCACAAGCGGGAGATCTTAGTTTTCTTGTTATATGTCTGAAGAATAAAATAGGAGCGTATTTTCAACTAAAAATAATTTTTGATATGCTAGACTCCTGTGTGGTCTACTCTTAATAGCAATGACTATTTTTATGCTTTTCATTAAGATTCAGTACAGTTTCGTTCTGAACGTATATATATATATATATATACAGTGTGTGTAAGAAGCTTCTCTTTCGAGCTTATTATCTCTTAAAATAAAAGAGATACAAAAATTATATTTTTACCGTTAGATAGAGCGCAGTCTGCTCTACATTTCTGGCCACTTAGAAACATTTTAATGATCTTAGATGAGTCTTCTTTTACACTTAGTCGACTTTAAGAACGAAAAAAGCATTCGGACACTTTCATTTCTCTATGGTTTTTGACATTTCCCAAATAGCGACGGATCTTTCAAATATACCATTCGAAAGAGCAAAGTCTCAGCTTTCTAATGAAAAACGAATAGTTAAAAAAAAGTGCTTTCTAACGGTCACAAAATTGAAAACTAATTCTTTTGCCTTAATCTCTTCTCTAAAACTTTTTTGACGTAATAGGCTTCAAGAAGACAAAACATTGCACAAAATGAGCTATTTTTCGCGTTCAATACTTAAAGAACAGCTCAGTTACACATACCATCTTTATCTCATCACTTCTCCCAAAAAAACGAAACGGGCTTTGTCTCTTAGGCTTTGTCTCTTCTATTATCCACAGAATAAACGAAGTTGTTTCAAACGAGATAAAGATAGTATGTGTAACTCGGCTGTTCTTCAAGTATTCAACTCGAAAAATAGCTCATTTTGTCCAGAGTTTTGTCCTCTTTAAGCTTGTTACGTTAAAAAAGTTTTAGGAAGAGATTTAAGGCCAAAAAAATGCCAAATATAATAGATGTCACTCAGAGATGATGAGGAGTGATTCAAGAGATGATTTTCTAACTGGAGCAGTTAGAAAATCAGTCAAATGAGCAGAAGAAATAGTCTATTTTTTCGTTCAACAATTATTTCTGATGTAGCTTTTCATGCTCTTTCTCACGGTATATTTAGAATTGAGTTTTGATCAAGTTTAACGGTCAAAGAACGTCTTTTAAATGAATTTCATGGTGGTATCCGTAATTTTCAGTTTTGTGCCCTTTAGAGAACACTTCTTTTAATTATTTGTTTCTCATTAGAAATTTGAGACTTTGCTCTTTCGAATGGTATATTTGAAAGATCCGTCGCTATTTGAGAAATGTCAAAAACCATAGAGAAATGAAAGTGTCCGAATACTTTTTTTCGTTCTTAAAGTCGACTAAGTGTAAAAGAAGACTCATCTAAGATCATTAAAATGTTTCTAAGTGGACAGAAATGTAGAGCAGACTGCGCTCTATCTAACGGTAAAAATATAATTTTCGTATCTCTTTTATTTTAAGAGATAATAAACTCGAAAGAGAAGCTTCTTACAGTGTCCAAACACGTCTCACATACATTGTAGTTAAATCAATTGAAAGTTGTGAGTTTTTCCTACATGCTCTTATTCTATTATAAGATAAGAAATTATCGATTGTTTAGAACATACAATCATTATTCATATTCTTTATTATCAATTTTTTAGACATGAGTTTTTTGACAAGTCTTGCCCAAAAAGCGTATGATGTGGCTGGAAATATATCTGGTGGGCGAGATTATTTAGCAACAGCTGCTAATAGATTAAATCAAGTAGTGAAGGGAAAAGATGCTCAAGTCTATCTTAAACCAGGCAATATTATTCAATTTATTTGTCGTTCCTCTGGACGAACCATTCAAATAGTCATGTCAGCGACAAGCAACGAACTTGTTCCGGATGCCATTGGTGGATCCGGATCTTATTATCCAAATTCTCATTTTCTCGGTAAGTATCAAAAGTTTTTATTGAAATTTTTTCCTTTTGATTAATAAAATTTCACAATGCACTATCTATTTTTTCTATTTATTATAGTTGTTTGCTCACAATATGATCGGTATTATTTCCATAATAATTACAACTATCTTGGATTAAAAAATCACCAACCGTGCATTGTGCCATCTTCGTTTGGAACCACACCACCGGAGGAATGTGAATTTCGAGTTCATGATATGTTAGGTAAGAGTTTTTAATTTTTTGAGTAATAATACAACAAGTTTTTACGTTTTAGGCAGCGCGACACATATATATTTAGAATCTGTTCAATCTCCTGGATTTTTCCTTAGTTTTGATGAAAATGGTGCAATTAGTAACGAAGCAGCATGTAAACTTAAAGATAAAAATTCACAATTTCAAGTCAGTTTAATCGCATATGGACCCGGGATAACACCTGTGAAAGATGATGGAACAATTGAGGCATCAACTGAACAACCGCCACCTCCGTACTACGCGGCTACAGCAGGTGAAACTACTACAGGTTCAAGTTCACCACCGGCAGGTGATACAACAAAATAAAATAATCCAGCATCCCATGACTAAAGTAAAAATGTCAGAATGTTGTCAGCTGTACTGAACAGATACATATTTCTGCGAACTTTTTTAATATTTATTGTGCAGTTTGTTCTTGTGTGTATGTATTATGTATCTTACGAACAAAATTTTATGGATTAGGGCATAAACTGTTTATGTTTTCGAGTTTTGTTGAGTTTTACTAAATATGTGCAATCTAACTTGTAACTTTGGCGCACACTTGTAATTCTGCTCTTATTAATGAATTATTTCTAAGTATTCGCTCGCTTTTCCATTTAAACACACGTGATTATAGGTAATCAATAGTGCTGAGTTCGAGTATAATATTCGTCGCTGCCATTTCACTGAGTGGGTTTTCGAAAAACCAATTTTTAGAACTCAAAGTTCTTTCTCTCCAAAGCAAATTCTGATCCACATTTGTAGCAGTTCAAGTTAAGTGCGGATATCCTGAAGTAATAATCTGCACAAAAAACACAATAAATCATAGAATGAAGAGAAATGATATTACCCTTTGAACTTGCTTGCCGTTCTCTATTATTCTTAAAAATCACTTTAATATGGAAGTCTACGCCCATTTTTCGCAATTTTTATTACCTATAATCGCGTGTTTTCAAAAGGAAACCAAGTAAATACTTTGCAGAATTCACTCATTAAATATAAATATACAAGCGTCAAATAAATTAACGACTTTGTTTTGCCTGTGGATGATGGTATAAATAACTTGATACATTCTGAAAATGTGCACACAGCGTTTGCATGCGTTTAAAAAACACGACTAAGTATATGCCTTCTATCCAATGTAACTTGTATTTAGTAATGCAAATGCCAGTTTACATAAGTACAGAAACTTTGTCAAAAAGGATCTCATCCGATTTGTAAAATAAATTTGTATAAAAAATAAAAATAAATAAATCATACGGAATTTTTAAAATAAATAAAAAATAGCCTTTTATCTACTATGTATATTTATTATTTTCGTCCTTTCTAAAACTCAAAACTTTTTTGCACGAAAAAACAGAATTCATATCACCAGAACAAAAAAAATAAAGTTGGTTTTGAGTTGCTGAAAAGTGCTTTTTCATATTCACTACACTCGATAACCCAGAAGATTTTCTATTTTTGGCAAGGGATACTTGCAAAAGTTTAGAAATAATTTTGAAACTAATATTGATATTGTTTTCCCATGGAAAGTTTTTTGCACCATTTTGTTTGAAAATTTTTCCTAAACTTTTGGATGTACCCCTTGCCAAAAACAGAAAATCTTCTAGGTTATCGAGTGTAGTGAATACGAAAAAGCACTTTTCAGCAACTCAAACCCAACTTTATTTTTTTGTTCCGGTGATATGATTACGACGATTAGGTATATTGTCGTTAAATATTACACGAACAATATATCATTTTAAAGAATATCTTCATCACATTTGTCTGTTCACTCATTCAAAAGATTACGGAAATAACACACTTTCGATCCTGGTTGACAAAATTTCAAGAAAAAGCAGGTAAACGATCGGAAAATATGTTTTTTACGTATCAGCTGCCTCATTGATAAAAATAATACATAAGTCCATTGGATAAAATCGACGGCTCATATTATATCTTGAAATATATAACTTGACAATAGGGTACAAATAGTTCATACAGATTGGTGTTTGAGTGATGGTACGTTGCAGAGGTAGGCAAGTCTAAGTCCGAACTTGACGGTTATTTTGATGAACTTGGCCTTGGGGATTTTTTTATTAAATCCGTTTGAACTCCAAGGAGTTAAAATCTGTTACATTCAACCACAAACTGAGTACAATCTGATACCTAATTTATTAATCTTTTTTTTATCAAATATGCATCAATGTATGGATAAAATTTATTTACCCGTCATATATGATTATGACGTACTGTATAGTGCAGGTAAGTATTGCGTGCAATTTTCCATAATCGACTTGTTCTGCTACATTCAACAACACTATTTTTGAATCAACTGCTAAGCTTTCAGAACCCTTCTAATCTGTGCTGGTGTTAAATCATTGTCAATCATATCACGAACACTATGCCATACAGAACAGGAGAGATAATTTGTTACAGCACGTTGCTCATGATCATGTGATGAGGATACAATGTTTCATAATTATCATTCGTATATTATTTTACTTTCAGCTGATAATCACAGATTGGTATTTTCCGTATTCCGAACATTTGTACGTATTTGATAAATAATTCTTGAATGACTCTATACGCAATATCCAAAGACTTTTAATCAATGATGAGATATTGTTTTTAGTAACAATTATAGAAATTTCCAACCAATTCCTGCGAGATATTCCAGTAGAAGAATGGAACGGAATGTTTAACAAAAATGTGTGTGCTAATATAGATTCAAAGACTGTCATATGATGTCTTGAGTGTACTTTAACATGCTTATGGTGTATTTACTAACATACTTTTGATTCTGGTTGAAAAAAATTTTCGTGATCATTTCTTATTTTGTCCTCTACCCTAGAGTACGTACTTGGAGCCAAGTATTTGGACCAGATACTTCGTTTGCGTAATGAAGCCGATACTTGCCTTTTTTCAAGAAGTAAATTTACTTGTAAGTACTTGTCCTTACTTGCCAAATACTTTCAGAAAGTACTTCTTAGCAATAAGGCAAGTATTTCGATCATTGACAAGTACTTAGCAAGTAATCAAGTACGTTCACTAGGGTATGCACATCCGAAAGTATTCCACTCGACTTTCAGCTTCTGTTATTTTCTTTCCCCAGTTTTTATTATAGTATAGTATGGTTGCACGACCCCATGAGTCATCAAATCATTAACTTCTTACATTTTCACGTACAGAACTTTTAGGATATTTGTTTTAAATCTCATGATCTAAACACAAATTGAAGGAGACTTTATTTCAGGTGATCGAAGAATAAATAATACATTCCACACATTCAGCCCTAATCTGCGATAATTTGTTCAGACTAATCTGCGACTTATGTGCATCTGATATCCGATACAACTGATACCTGAGACACTGTATGGATTGTGCATCTAGAAGAATCTTTAAAATGTAAATTTACAAAATTTCACAGACTGTAGCGACGCTGTTCAACATTATTAGGAACCTAAAAAATAAGCAGATATCTTCTTATTTACAGATTCCTACTGTGTTTAACAGTCCTCAAGAACTTGCTAGAGCGTAAATGTTGAAAGCTCGGGTCGATACTGGTTATTGTATTGTTACTAAACGTGCTATCTACTGAACTTCTTTGGGTACGTCATAGTTTTCGACCAATACTGTGTGAATGGATCTCATGGACAATTCGTTTAACAATTAACTAGTTTACTGATTGAAATTTATTTAATCCTACTGCAAACCTTGAGATTAAAATTTCCACAAAAGGAAGATGCAAATACAATTCTGTCAAGTGTAGAATGGCTAAAAATATTTTAGCTGTAATATAACGCATGTTTCAAGAGGCTTAAAGAATTATAAATGTCTTCTAAAAGAACCATAAATGTCTCCTAAAAGAGATCATATTATATCGAACATATTTATTGAACTGTATTAGTCTTATGTTGAAAGGTACAGTATTTCTGACTGTTTTCTTGTATGCTCCTTTTGTTTCAGATAAGCATTCAAATTTTTCTCTTTACTTAGCATGAAAGATCATAGGAAGAACGTTCTAGCCGATACCGATGAAAGTATTATTACTCATAATACAAATGAAGCATCAATCAATAATAGTCCAAAACGCTCTTTAGAAGACTATGAATTTTCGAAAAATTCCAAAAAATCGTGTCGCTTATCTACACAAAGTAACGATAGTAACTCTCAAACATCAACAAATTTTGAAACTCAGAATGACAATAGTCATGATAAACAAGCAGAATCAAGGCAGAAAACGAAGACAAGAAAAACAAAGCAAAAGGATGATAAATTAAGTACATGTCTTTCAGCATCAAACAGTGAAACAAAAATGTATCGTGATGGAAATGACGATGATTCAAATCTTGATTCCGATGGTCTTAATTCTCGTGTAAGAGCTTATTTTTAAACGGATGTCTATTTCAAGAAATATTTTGTTTGGTTAATGATCAGTGTGAAATTTCATTAGTATATTCTGACATAATACTGAGAAACGGTCGGGATAGGGTATGAGTCAGTAGATAGTATATATGATAACAACGAGAATCATCCTCGGTCTTCATCTTACTCACAGTATTTTTTTCTAATAAATACAGTTTTTTACGTAAACAACTTGGTAACTTCATCTGTTGAACTGAAATTTTTACTACAGACTCCTGAAAACATTTCTGAAGCTTGTTTTTTGTTTTGTTTCTGTTTAACATTTTTCTCTGTTGAGTTATAGCGAAAATAGCGAGCCTATGTTACAACCAGGTGTTTCAGTTTTAAATTTCTTACAGCTTGAAAGAAAATGTGATAAACAGAAATTAAAAGAATACCCTTCGGAAATGATTTTAAGTATCTCTGATAAACTCTCAGTTTAAACAGATAAAGTTATCGAGGTTTGTAACAGTGTCGAATGAACATTACTGATGTTTTGGGTAAATTATGTTATATAACTAATGACACTTTCTTCAGAAATCTTCTATCAAAAAAAGCGTCATAAAAATTTCGAGACCTATCTCAGTTTGAACAGAATACTTTTTTTCTAAAATACTGTTTATGCAAAAGAAAAGATTTCAGGTACTAGAAAATTTTTTAAAAAAGTAGTTTCGGAGGGTTAGTGCCTTTTATTGCAAATCTTTATAAGGCTGTGGTGAGTTGCGATTGAGCTCATTTTGTAGTGTACACCTTACTTGATATTACTACGTGTCTGAAACAAATTTTAAAAGACTATTGAAAATAAAGGGTATACTCTTAAACTGAAGAGATGTTGAACTGTTTTAGTCATGTATTTTTCATGTAGAAAGCAACGGCACGTTTACAACCAATAAATTATGTAAATGAGTTTAGTTTGCTACCGTGGGATCGTGTATGTCCAAGTATTAATCAGATAATGTTAGGAACACATCAATCTGGTGTATTTGCACATGAGATTTTATCAGTTCAGCAAGAGTTGGAAGCACTATTGGCGATGTCAACGTTACGTGAAACACTTGTGACTACAATTACTAATACAAACGCAAATCAGTTAGCAAATAACGAACTGCAATCATTAGTGCGTCATCAGCATGAAGCCGAACATGTGTATGGTGTTCGGCAATTTCATGATATAGCGTCAAAATTTCAACGACCCTTTAATCCTAAACAACAGCAACAATTTTATCGTCAAGTATCAACTACTGTATCATCAACTGATCGATTTTGGTTAGAGTTTCAGTCAAAATATAGTTTAGTAACACAAACGGATCTGGCTACAATAAAAGATATTTATTTATTCGATCAACTACTTGAAAATGAAATTAAACAATTGAAACAAGAATACTTAATAGCAAAAAATATGGAGCAGGTAGAACATCAGAAACAACCGTCGATAACATCGACAAATTTGAGTATGGATAAATTGAAAGAATTTTTACAAACAGTCGATAGTCAAATTCGGCAATCAATAGTTACTCCATCGCTGAAAAACGACGAACAGCAATCAAAATTAGAAATAACGGCTGGACGACAACCGAAGAAAGAAAAAAACAACATAACAGATGTGGATGGTTTAGCTACATTGAATTTGAATCAGTTTTTGAATGATTGTGACAAAGAAAAATACGATGTCATCTCACGCTATGTCGAACATACTCAATTGAAACAATTTCAGCAACGTTTTCATTCGTTTATTACACATGATTCACCTGCCTATAAAACACCAACATCAAGTCCACCAATGAAACTAAATAGTGTAACAACAAATAAACAATCACCAACATTGATAGATAATCGAAAAAGAATTAACGATTCGGTGAGATGTTCACCACGTTTACATTTCCAAGATTCAAATTCGAATAGTAATCCAACAAATTTTATTAGTCTTTTGCCAGTTTTTCAGCAAAAAGTAAGAGAAAATTAGTAGTAGCTTTAGTGTACGTTTGTTAAGCGGAGCAAAATTCAATAGGTTACCTAGAAAGAACAGTTTTAAAGATGAGCAATTTTTTGATCCCTAAAGAGAGATAAGTTTTGGAGTCTAAATAGCATAGAAGGGTAATGAAAACTAGTTTAGACTTAATTGTTGCTGAGAGAAGAAATCTGTTATTATTCTCTCATTTTGCGAGTACATACGTGACGATCAAAGTTCCACAAGCTTTTGTTGGATTTACATTCGACTGTGACTACTCATGTTTCAAATGTGAACCCCTGATACACCAAGGTATAAATAAAGCCATTACAATTTCTGTGTAGTTCTCGATATAAACTGTTTTTAAAGCTTTTACGATAAATTTCCTACCATTTGAAGGAAACATTCTCTAGTCAGACTCATTTTAAATACGGTGCTGAAACATACTGTAAAAGTTTGAGTCCAGCTCAAACATCTGTTGGCAAATCGATCATCTTATCGTGTAGTATCTTGAAAGACAATAAAATCCATATATTGTCAATCTTCCAGGCTGTCATTTATTCATGATACATTATCCGCACCTAGCAACTATCTTAAAAATGACCAAACAATAACTCTTCTCAGACTTATTATCACTAATTACGTGTGACGGTTCAGGGATGCATCTGTTGTCTAAGACGTACTCAAATTAACCATCCAAAGTTTAGAGATCAGGCTATCTACTTCGTGATCATATATATTCTTATATTTTTTCTAATTCTAGAATAAACAGGAAGATGATATAAAGACCGTTGACGTTACACATGAACCGTTGAGTTTAGTATCGAAATCGACTGGTGGACTTAAACGAAAAAGTATCCGCCAACAAAATATTCCATTATGGTCATTATCACCATCGTTAATCAAAGCTGAACGCCAGCAAAAAGCACAACTAGTCGCTGATTACTTAACTAATCGAACGACTGTTCATTTACCAGTTTCTCCAGTTCTAACGTTAAATACTGAAAAAGAAAACAATGAACAACAACAAACTTCTCTACCAATGTCATCCACCAAGCGTCAACTTTTCAATAACCCACCTGTCATCACAGATACATTGCATGAGAACCAGTTACATACTTTAACAATGCCAACCAAAACACTAAAGAGATGGAAACGGCATAAAAAACAACCATATGGCAAAATAAAAACCATACCTCAGAAGAAATCGTCAGAATGCGAACGTACTGATTCATTTGAATGTAAAATTTCTCTTCTAGAAAATTTGTTAAGTGAATGTAAAACTTTAAGTTTATTGGCAGTTGAACGTTCAAGTCTACAAGAAAATATTGAAAAAGTTTCATATAGAATTCAACAATTAGATGAACAAATCGAAAATGTTTTAATTAAAATTGAGGGTGATGGCGGAAAACGAACTGGTAAGAAAAAGACTTATTCAACAACAAAACATAATTTGATGAGATTGTTAAATGATCGTAAAATTTATGAACAAGCATTATTCAATGATCAAGCAAAACTTCGGCAATTAAAAACAATCAAATAAACTTCGTGTTTTTGTGATTCTTTTTGTCTATTTTAGTCTTAGTCTACCGGTTGTTTTGTCCATTTGCACGAAAAAGATTTATTTTTGAGCCAGTATTAAAATTATTTTTTCTCTGAATTTTTCTCGTTGTTGTAACAATTTTCTATCGAGTTCACCGGTTTTTGTGACGATTATTCGGTGCCGTGGAAATGGATATTTCTATTTTCCGTGTTCTTTGTTTTTGTTTTATTTTTAGTAATACTCATACTTTGAAATTTTTTTATAGTCTTACTTTTTCATTTTTTTTTTGATAAACTCTGTCATTTAATTTGACTTTTTGAATGTTTATTGAAAGTTTTCGTAGTTATACTGGTATTTATGTATTGTTTTCTTTTAAAGACTTTTTTTTTTAGAGATGGCTTAATAAGATGTTATGTTTTATTTTGCATCAATATGCATAATATTTAATGTATCTTAGGTATTTATATCATAAAAATTTATGTTGGTGCTCTGTAACGTAGATAAAAATGTATATTGTTTTAGAGAAACAAAAAAATACAAACTATAAAAGATGATGAACATTTACTATCCTTAGACAATAAAATTGTCGTACATGTGTATTGTCAAATAAACAAATTATCTAAACATTATATATGTTTTTAGATTTGTCATAATGTGTACTGATGAAATAGACAACATTATTATATTAATGAATATTCAACAAGATGTCTGATAGTAATTCAGACGATATTAAAATAACAACAAATACCAACTGTTCTCTACTTATTCATCGTCAAAAACCAATGAATACTAATTTTATTCATCACTATCCAAACTATGATAAATCGTGTCCAAGAATTAATCATGTTATAAATACTGAACTTTATCCATCAAATGGTGTATTTATTCAAGAATTAAATCATGTTCAACAAGAATTAGAAGCTGTACGAATATCAGCAATGCAAAGGTATAAACGTTTAAAAGGTTTTAATAATCGTATTAATTCATCATTGACAATAACTGACACATCAACAACTGACTGTAGTGTGGATATAGCAACATTGTGGGAACAAACAACAATTGAACATGATGATGAAAGTGATCGAGAATCTGTGGATATTTATCAAAAAATTTGTAGTAATCGTGGCTCTTGGTCTTCTCGAGGTCGACCTTTTCATGGAACATGGCTAAGAGGTCGAAAGAGAGGTTCAGGACGTGGTCGAGGTCGGGGTCGTGGAAGAACATTAAGAATAATCAAACGTGAAAGAGGAAGTCGTAGTGCATACAATGGATTTATTCAGTTAGCACCAACCACAAATATCATACATTCAACATTAAATACAACACAACGTCAAAAAAATAAATCTATTGGTAATTGTACAAGACAGCGAACATATCGTACATTAAATTCCCATGGTTATCATGATATTTCAACACCAAATCGAAATGGTAAAAGATTAAAATTAAATAATTCAAATACGAAACAAGTTGTACCCGAACAATTTTGGATAAATTTAACATCGACTTATCATCAATTTGTTAATCAAAATGATATTGATGAATTAAATTCTTTAGTAAATTTTGATCAAGATTTTCTTCAAAATATTCAATTCTTATTCTCATCCTCGGATGATGAACAAGATCACAATAATTCAATACAATATCAATATGAAAAATATCAAGAATTATTAAATAAAAATCAACATCTTGATCAAGTATTAGTTCCTCCAACATTATTTTCTAATCCAATTTTTTTGCAATACTTCAAATGTTCGATCGCTGTGAAACGAAATCATATTTTCAAGAAAAATGTAGAATTAGTATCGAATGAAGATGACAATATTGATCTTAAAACTAAAACAGTACAACAATCATCCACTTATACGAGAAATAAAAATCATCAATCTCATAGAAATCATGTTCACTTAAGTCCTGATTCGAAATCCATAAAAAATCGAAAACGTTTAACATCACCCACAAAATTAAAATCATTTAGAAAATTGGCACATAGTGAAACTAAAATGTCAAGGTAAACTAAATTAGCTGTTGACTTTATTCAGAATAAACATCACTTTTTCCTAATCAAAAATTGTTCATACTCCAAAACAAAAAAAAAAAGATCAATGTCTATTTGTTAAAATTTAGGATAAATTCATTCATGACGTATGAATTTACATTTTAGAAAAATAATTATTTGATACTCTTCTCTTGAAATGTAGAACGTTGTTATTTTCTGAAAATTGAATTAATTAAATATTTTTAACTAAAAGAATAATCCTCAATTCGATTATTAATAATATCTCTAAAATAATGTTAATTTCTCATCTGTCTTTTTTTAATCATATATTTAGTAGAACAACGAAATTAAACGAATTAAATGAATGTTTACAAGATTGTATATTTATTGAACAAAAAGCTCATGAACGTGCAAAACATCGTTTATCTTATGATGAAGTATGTCAACAAATACAACATATGGATACAAAAATCAGTGATATTATGTTATCGTGTCGTTATCGAAAAAAAAATATTTTAGATACTAAAACACCATTAGTAACAACTCAATCGTGGCGTCAACGTCCACGTAAATCAACTCTTAGATTATATGAAGAATTGAAACGTTTATTGAATGATCGTGTCACATTGGAAGCAAAAGCAAATTGGATTCATGAAAATTATCTAAAATTTTAGTTGTCTATAGTTGAATGTAGTTTAAATTTTTTTCTATGTCAAATTTTTATTAGAACAATTAGAATAGTTCAATAATTTTGTTGTTGTAAAACATGTCGTATTTCTTTTTGTTTGTTTATTTGTTTGTCTGATCTATTGGAATGTATGTTTGAACTAAAGTAACCTCAGGAAAATATATATTTTTGTTTTATAACAATACAATATACATGATATTAAATATTGATGATTTGTTGTTGATTTTTCATGTATTTGTCTCAAAGACAAAATAGTAATCATTTTTTCATCGTGGAATGATCATACCACTAATAATGTTTATTTCATTTTGTACAGGTAGTATCTGTCATTTTTGTTGTTGTTTTTTGTTATTCTAAGTTCAAAGTACTCATGTTATTCATTTTTACTCTGCTAAACTTGAATTGAGAAGCTATTTTGATTTTACAGATATTGCACATTAGTATTGAACATGTTCAGATTTCTTTTTTTTTGATCTAGGCATTATCCGTGATCACAAACTAGCAATAGGCGAAAGAATAGTGTTGAATAAATATAACTTCTAAAAACTAGTTCAAAAACCATACGACGATCTCTGTTTGCTTTTTCGTTGTCCTTCTAGAGAATAAGTGTGTAGTATCTGCAAATTAAACAACTTTTGTTTTTTTTTGTTTGATGTAAGATGGTCAGTTATTTATAAGGAACTTGTCAGCGGTCGTATTTGTCTTAGTTTTTATGTTGCTGCATAATTATCTAATACTTCTCTATAATACATTCACACACGTACTGCTTCTGTTGTATTGTATTTTTTTTTATGTTCATTTGGAGTGAAGTATGTGGGAGAATAATTTACTCTCATTGTCATTGTTTTGTTTGAATTTTTATGGTTTCGAGTAATGTTATAGTAGTTTTTGTTTGTTTGTTTGTTTGTACATTTTTCAGTAATAAAATTAAGGATTGGAGTCTGTGAAAAGACAAGTTTCTCTCTATCTCTTTAATGAATTTTTTGAGAAACGCTAATTGGTTGAAATTAAAAATTCTTCTTTATTCCAGTTTATATTGCTTTTGTTTTAGATTCAACTCTACTCATTGACAATGCATATTGTAATGCATATTTTATTTAATCACCTATCTTATTAATCTCTGTATTGGACTTTACGATGATGTACATCATATAAAATAATCGTATAATGACGGCTTATAACACATTGTAAATAAACAATGTGTAAAATAAAACGGCTTACGTTCGTTAAACTTTTATAGTGACTTTGTCAAGTTTGTTTCTTAACTCTGTTTATATCTGTTTCTCTAGGATTCTTTTACTCGATGTTGTTTTGCACACAAAGTAATTGTGTATTTATCATCCTCTGCATAATTAGTTTTTGTATTTATGCGTGTCGTTCTCCGTGCGTCACAGAGTAAAAAAGGATAAATATTATTCAATTGTGGAACAGAACAGATTGTGAATTTCTTTTTTGTATCACGTCGAAATGCGACTGTTCTTTTAGCTTCAAAAAAACGGAAGTTATAATTATCTCATCGAGTTTCATGCAGTTTCACTTGTTATACTGTAAGCTTCGTGATGTTTCCAATATAAGCTGTCATTGAATTGTCATTTTCAATTTTAATTAATTTAAAAGAAACTTCATCGATGACTATATGATCTCATAAATGACAACAGTGTTATAGTTTATTATTATACACTGTTATGTTATCGTCATTGTACTAAAGGGTGGTTCAAAAGTTTCGACACCCCTCTGTAAATTGACGTTATCTATATGAAATATATAGTTAGTTGATTATAACATATCATTGTATAGACAAACGTTAGACCTATCACCTAACAAAAAAGGTTTGAATTGCATATACGTAGTGCAAAGTGATCGTCATTTTATTAATCTTAAAAAAACATCTTTATCTTACAGTAACATGTGAAATTTTTTCAAGATGTTTTTTCAAAATTAATAAAATGACGATCACTTTGCATTACGTATACGCAATTCAAACCTTTTTTGTTAGGTGATAGCTCTAACGTTTGTCTATACAATGATATGTTATAATCAGCTAACTATATATGTATTTCATATAGATAACGTTAATTTACAGAGAGGACGAAAATTTTGGATCACCTTTTACACTAATTACGATGCGTTGTATGTTATTATTTTGAATGGCATGAAAGATATATTATATATTTTCAGAAAATTATATCGGAAAAGCATTTTAAATGAATGATGAAAGGCGATTTTAATTTGTTGGATTCTGAAATATTCTTTTCATGCTATTTATATTTTATGTGAATACGTGGGCTTATTTTCAATTTTCTCTTTTATTTTGTTGTTTCTATAAATTCAAAATTTATACTTGAATTCAAGCGATTTCATACGCACACTGTTCTGTCTATAATATAAAAGCGTCTTGCATGAAACAGCATAATGTTAAAGGTTGATGTGATTTCATTAAGCACTAAAAACTTTTGAGAAATACGAGTCGAGAAATATGGTACAATCATGTTCGTATTGGATCGTAAAATTCCGCAACAGATAGATATGTTATTGTTTCGATGGTGTTTATGTAAAATTTCGTTAAATTTTGAAGTAACAAATTATATTTGTAACCTGTTATGAGACTTTCATTGGATGTGATAGCTAAAATTCTGATATTTTCTTTAATGTGAACAAATAAGATATGTTTTAGTAGAAAAGAGTTGAGTACTTCACTTTTTGTACACATACACACATATATTTTTTAAGCTGTTTTCTTATTGTAATTACCAATTAAAAATTAAAAACTCATTGAGTTCACTATTTCTATCCACTAACTATATTTATATATATAGAACGAACGGTGTGTCAGGCTAGCCTTCTGTTCAGAGATGTGGTTAATGACTGGTAACGAGACGAGTGATCATGTTAGAAGCTTGTCAACTGTAGGAAAGATATCGGGTTGTTAAAACTGACATTGTCAGCACCCTATACTGGTAACCGTAATCCAAGGCGGGGATATTCTCCCTTCTTCTTTCTTCATGATCATTTCTTTATTCGCCTGCTGTTATCGCAAATAGTCGGATAGTCTTTTATTTAGTCTAGTAGTTATAGAAGTCATTTACTGCTATTTTTTTCTATTACTCTCATTTTTTTGAAAAAGATAATTGTCTGACATAGTTTCTTATCTTATTGAACTTTTGCTCCATTTTTCGTTATCATCGTGCTGGAAGTCGGTTTCATTCCAACTTTCCTTGTTCTGCTTTTCTTTGTTCTCTCCTCACATACACAAGGCTCTTTGTGTCAAGGATATAAAACTGTCTCTCTCTCTCTCTCTCTTTTCTCTGTTCTTTCATCGATCTTATTATGGATTTTGACCGCGTCCTCCATCATTCTTTTCTTCTCTTTCTCTCTCAATTCTCTCTTTCTCATGTACACATTTGCGTTTAGTGTGCTCATGTACACACCCACTTCTCTGTGATTCAACCACCATCGTTATTTTTTCTTCTTTCATTACTTTATATATTCGTATCGTTGTGGTAGAGTGCTACATGTGTGTGTGTATATATGTGCTCAATTCATCAAATGCTACTTGATAGTATACACTGTAGAGAGATAGATGTATGTCTAAAAGGAATGGTAGTTTTTGTATACGTACGAAGCAGGTAGAACATATACATGTACAGGCATATTGAACAAAAAAATTATGATTTTTTTATATCGTGCATATATAAAACAGATCTCGCATCTCATATAATAAAAAGACCTATTTTACTTATTTTCTTCAGTAATCATCGAGTTATGTACTCACACACATACACACGCATCACATCATATAATACATAATAGGAAGGCAATATTCACTGATTAGACTGCGTTAGTTGTAGGGTGTGATAGCCGTTTAGGGTTTGTATGCTTTTTGTGTACAAATTTTTTTTATAATTTTGTTTCTTAACTGACTAAAAAAATCCTTAGCTTTCTGTATCTGAATTACAGCCGTTTTGTTCGTTATCATTGATAGACTATTAAGTGCAAATGTTTTATGTACAGATATCTTCAGTTTCGACAAAAGGTATTAAGCACTAAACATTAACTATGTAATGGTGTCGAAAAACAGACAACATCTAACTAACTACTTCATTTTACTTCTAACACGTGACCATTTTTCTAATGGTAGAGGACTAATCACACGCCAAACAGTAATGTCGTACAATGACGCAGCCCTTGTTGTTTTTCTCATTCCTGTCCTAAATTCTCTATTGTATTGTAGGCTTATAAACGTCCTACTTTAGTAAACACAACCAAATCATGTCAGAGATGAACATTTCACTTCTCTTTAAATAGTTGAGTAAAAGTATAATTTTACTCTTTCATTTGTATAACACAATGATATCAACAGACTACGGTCATCAGAGTTGTTTTCAACGATTTTTGTGCATTATATTAAAAAATGAAATCGACTGAACTCCATGTGTGTCATTTTTTTCAACAAGTCATTGATATAATACTTCCTGTTGTCAATTGCCACTCGTGAAAACTGAACTTCTATTTTGTTTTAAAGCCTGCTGGATAGAATGAAAATATCTTATATCACACTAAAGCGCGTTCTTCGAAGATATGCAATATTAACGAAGTTTTCGATGATTCATTGATAAAGTGGATGTAATTTTGTTCAACATCTCGTCTACATTCTTTAGTAAAAACAAACAGTTAGCGTAAGATTGTCTAGAGTTTTTGTGTTAAGTATTAAATATGTGACTCTTCACACTAATAGAGTTGAACAACCATCTGCTCTAGTTGAATCAGTATCAGACAAACTTTAAGAAAAATATAAGCCTTGTGATTAATTGAACTCTCTGTAGTATTAAGATTTGTTGTGTATTTTTATATTTACCTCTGAAATCTTTTTTTATTTTTAGATAATTGATCTATGGAACAACAAAAAAATAAAGAAACAAATCATTTACTATGTCGAAATAATTTAAATGAACGTATTACCTTATTGTCACAGATTGCTAGTGATATTCATAATAGTAGATGTGAAAACGAGACTCTTCAGCAATGTAAACCGGCTATGATAAGATTATCCAGTCCACTCTCGTCTGCACCTCCATTAGTACGTAAACGTCGGCTTTCCTCAGATACACCGGACATCCCAACGATGTTAATACCCATACAGGATCATCGTAGAATTGTTGTTGATGATGATGATTTATTTTTAACAAGACAACTATTAACACACGAAAAATCAAAAAAAAAACAAAGATATAATCAAACAACAATAGATAATCATAACCATGAACAACTAACATTGTACGAAGATTATTTTAATCAACGACAACAGCAATTAACCAATCATCTGTTAAATAAACGTACGCGTTATGAAAAAATTAACGAACTTGAGAATCAACCACCAGTGACAAAACGTAATCAAAAACAACAAGAACAACAACAAATGAATGTGAATGACTTGAATAATTATATACACGATGAGATACTTGCCAGACAAAATCGTGGACGATATCCAATAATAAATGATATGCTTCCATCATATTTTTCAAATCAACTTCCTCTATCAAATTATAATTCAACATTGTTCTCTGTTGATCAGACAACTGATGTTCCAAAACATTCAAATTCATATTATCGTACAAGCAGTGCACCAAATCATCATCCTTGTTTAGATCATTCACAACAACAAATACAAGCACAAGTATTTCCTTATCGACGTGAGATTCCAGTTGATGTTGTACGATCATTATCACCAACGTTGACCACGTATGATGATGAACAAACAATATTAAGAAATGTTCCACTGAGTACAAAAAAAAACATTAAAGGTATATTCTATAGCTAAAGTAAGATCTGATCAAATCCCAGGATAGATAAGAAAAACCATTTCTTAGTTCTGATTTCTGTTGAATGAGAATTGCGGTTATTAGTTGATGTATGGTTAATACATAATGAGCTTTGTTTTTGTTTTAGCAACTAGTCAAACGAACAGTATGGTTATAAGACGAAATGAAAACAGTATTAATACAACACCAATCACATCAACAGCAAACAACAAAAACAATTGTAATCGTAATGGGAATATATCGCCAACATATTCAGAAACATCGAGTGAAACATCATCATGTTCATCAGATGAAAATTATCTCTTTCAACAGCGATGTCGTTCAAATTCCATAGGACGTAATTCACATTGGCGTAGTTATCGCGAACGTGAAAATTATGAAGCATTACTTGATCTGGCTGAAAAATTATCCGATCCAAATCGTTTCAATCAGTTCGATGTACGTCAGTTTTTATCCTACCGTTATAAAGCACCGAATACTAGTACAAGTGGTGATGAAGTTTCAACAATTCGTCGTAGTGGTCGTATCAGCCCTCAAAATCGTCATACGATAATACCATCAACAACTCCAACATCATCGACTCAAACAGGTTGTGTTATCTGTATGTGTCCGTTTAAAAATCGTCAATGTATTCGACAGTTACCATGTGGTCATGAATATCATTCTAAATGCATTCAAAAATGGCTGGATATGAATAGTACTTGTAAGTTTTCTTTGTGACAAACTTGTTTTCAACTAAGCTAATGTTTGATTATTTTAGGTCCACTGTGTCGACAAGACTGGCGTGGTTCAATTTATCACACAATGTAAAATATTTATTTCTCTTTTCTTTTCTTTTTTTTTTCTTGTTTATTAGTTTCAATCCTTGATTGTGAAAACAGTAAACGGCCTTTTATATTCTGAAAGCTATCTTCCCCTTAAGTTCAGGTTAAACTACCAACTTTTCGTTGTTTTCTTTTTTATCTATTCTCAAAGGAGAAGTCACAATATCTGTGTTGTTTATGTCAAAAATGGTTGTTTGTTTTTGTTTTTCTCTTCCATTGCTTCTCGTTTTCCTTCCATATCTATATATAGGTTTTTCTTCTCTTAACATATGTGCAGCTTCAACTCACGTATAAACGTGTATTTTTTATGGTTTTTGATTAGCCTCATCTTATTAATTAATTTTTGTTTTCTTTTCTAACTATACCTATATATTCATACATGTTCCATGTTTTTTGCGTAATCCTTCAAAACTTCTTTGTTTCCTGTATAGATAACTGTTCGTGGTTTTTTTTCTCTCTCATTATATTCAACATAAAATGAATGATAAATAATTAAAATTTTTTTTTGTCGTATCGAGAGAATCATTTTGATCATTTGATCTACTGAGGAATTGACAGGATTTATAAGAGTGCAAATAGTAGTTCGGTAATGGTATCTTATTGGATATATCGTTTGTCTACAGACGCTTCGATAAAATATAGTTTCCTGAAGTAAACGTTTACGGCGCTAGTTTTTTATTATTTTATTTAGTATTACGGTGAACAGACAAATAATATGATAAACTTCATGCATCGCTTTCTAGCTAGTTTACTGCTAGTGGCACGTCTGAAACTTTCAGATATTTTGTTTATGCAAATTTTACTTTTACTTCCAATAACTATGTTGTTGTTTCTTTTTTTGTTTCATATTTACATTCGACGAAATTATAATGAAGAACAGAAAAAATGCAATCAAAATTCACTATTAATCAACAATCTGATTTACACGAAAGAACTATATTTAAATTCAATCGTGCCAAGGTCAGATATATCAAACTTTTCGTAAAAAGTTGATATCGCGTTAGGTACTCGATCGAATAGTCTATGGTATCTACTATCAAAATCTCTCATGATCTAGGATTCATCGAAATTTCTTGAAGATTTTTCGAAAAGTTTTCTCTTAGACTAGAAAAACTGACTTTTCTCAAAGTTGTGCTTTTCCAATAAAAAGTCGAATCTAAAGCTATTGTTGACTAATGCTAGGATGTAGAGAAAACATTTTGATCAAAACAGGACATCTTCCAGTTCCGGATTATATTTTAGTCAAAAGTTATTAGAGTTGTGCTCGAAGGCTTAAAACATGCATGAGACATTGGGGTCAATGTATCTTGAAAGCGGCGTTCACTATTAAATCATTTTATATTTGCAGGAATTCTTCATCAAATCAAATGCTAAAGAGCGTGGATTAGGCTTAAATTGAAGCCAACACATGTGGCTCGGGTCTAGTAAAGTTTTACTTTTGGTATTCGGCCTATATTTGTGGATAGCGAAACATCTTTGTACAAGTTAATGAGACTTCGAATATTTTACTTTTAACGCTTATCAAGCCTAAAGACACATATGTTTTCGTCATTTGAAAGCCATACCGACAGGAGAAGGAGCTATAGATGCTAAATCTATCTTAAATATCCTCGATTGTGCGAGCAATTGTATTTTATACTTTCTATATCCATGTACAGTAAGTCATGTTTTTCATAGTAAATAGTTGAGATGAAAGATTAATCTTATCGTCTTATTAATAAACAAATACTTTTAGAACACAAACGTCGAATACGAGTTATAGAAACTAAAAACAGTTAGAGTTTTTTTTTAATAAATAGTTTTTTTAAACAATCTTTCTTTTATACAAGGATGTAACAATAATACCTTAATAGTTACTTCCAACAGATAATGATATAAAGAACGTCTCGTAGTGGGAAAGACATAAAGTATTTAGCTATAAAATGCTAAATTTTTATTTAATATAAAAACTGATTCATGTACTTAATTTTTATAATAGGAAAAAATTTGATTATTTCAATATTAGATAACAGAAAAGTTTTTTTTTACATGACGGATTTGTTGTTCATATCAAATTTGTGAATAAAAAATTCAAGGTGGCAAAGTTTGCTTGATGTTTATAGCTTTTTTTTCTCCTAGTCTTCTTCACATGCACATATAATGAATAGAAACGGCGTAGACCATTAAAACGACAAACTTCAATACACTTGCGTATTTTGTTTCTAATGCCATAATTTATGAGGATATCGCCTGCAATATTTAATTTGTTCGTATTTTATAAGTTTAATTCTATTTATCTCTATTTTCTCTTTAATCTCTCCATGTCTACAATGTTATTATTCATGTTTTTATAGATTTATACATATGTGAATAATTTCTAATAATATAGGCGTCTCTAAAAAAAAAGGTTATCGTATATTTGACAATAAAATATATGTGTAATGTACGTTAACCTTGAAATGAGAAAGATTAACAAAAATCTGTAAAATGGTTTTAACAGTTATCGATGAGATAATAATCGAGTAATTATATATATTTTTAAACATTCTGCGATAAGAAGCGTTTCTTTTTTTTGTTTTATAACTTCACATTAAAGAATGTTTGTTTTTATTAACGTTACATCAATTCGCCAAGTCGAATTGTTTTCATTTTCATGATAGATTAATGTTTTCTGTGAAAAGAAAAAATGTTTACTGTATCATCTTTGAGAAAATATGTAGCCTTACGTCAAAATAGGAGACAAACAAATGGCTTTCTTTGTTTTGATCAATCAGAAAGTAGTGGAAAATTAACAAATATTAAAGAAAATTTTGATGTTGTTTTTATTTTGTTAATAACATAAAACAAATGGTAACTCAATCATTTTCTCTATTACATTAAAAGTACACGGATATCGAAATGATTTGACGTAGTGTTTCGGACTTTTTATTTTTTTGTTGATTATTTTATATTCAAATATCAACATTTAATCGTTTCGTTTTTTTTTTGCTCTTCATCTGATCGTTTCAACTGACATACTTGATAATCAAAAGTACATTTGTTCTCATTTCTCTCAACATGATACCAGTAATGAAAATCAAATAAGAAAATAGCTTATCTGATTGTAATTGTTGTTGTTGTTGTTATTCTTGGTACCACAAAAGAATAATGACTCAATCAATCTACATTTTATGTGATAGTAATAATTCTTATTATTTCGTATAGTTTCAAAAAATTTTATGCCTCTTTTGTTAATAATAGCTAATTGTCATTTCGCCGTTCGCAACTTTTGAATGAATTTGAAGTAATTAATGGAGAAAAAAATTGCGGCAATTTACATTATTTTTGTCAAAAGAGAACATCAAACATCATCACAATGGATAAAAAAAAGAAAAAGAGAGCGTATGTATTTTTTTTTACAAGTATACTTGTGCAATGGAAAATCTATAAGCATCTATCGTAAATTATTGTTATTTGAAAGAGAAAGAAAGGGAGAAGATAAAAATGCCCATGAAGAAAGAGTGAGTGTGAGAGAGAGAGAGAGAGAAAAAGAGAGAATGTTTTCTGTATTCTGCGCATATATAATATATATGTATGGTATATGTGCATGTTAAAAAAATTAAGACGGAAGTTCATCTACATTTGAAAAAGCAATTTTGTTTGTTTCGAATGAATCGTTTTTCAAATTAGTTTAGCACAATAATCATTCAAATAGGTGTGTCTGTCGCGCTTTCTCTCTACTCTTCACATATATATATATATATATATATATAAAGGGTTAAGAAATTTGTGATTTCTACGCACTTACATATCTCAAAAAAATTTTTTTTCTTCTTCTGCAAAGTACTGTGAACAAAAAAGTAAGTGGTGAATTTCATACAAAAGATCCTTTTGAAACTCTGCTGGAAGTCAGCAATTGTTTCTAACAGAAAGTAGAATTAAATTGAGAGTCTGATGTGAACAACTTACGAGATGAATTTACTACATATTACTGCAACAACATTTTGTCAATTGTTGCAATAATAGATGATTTTTGTAGACGATGGCGCCTGTTTATTAATGTCGCCTTTATTTTTTCAGAATTTAAATGAGAAAATATTCGTTATTGTATTTTAAATTATCGAAAATAACATGAAAACAATTTTGTACGAATAACAAGATTTGAACATATAAATTTAATTTTGCAGTTACTTTTTACCCTATACTTCATAGATGAAAAGTGTAAGACAAAAGTTTCATACTGATGAAAGAATATTTTTTTATCAGTACAAAAATATGCTACATCGTGCACATTTGACAACAATTTATTTGTATTTTGGTTCTTTTTGTTTGAAACAACTGTTCGACACAATGTGATGTAATAAACAGTTAGAGACAAGTAAACAGTAGACTAATATACATATCTTTACCCTTTCTAACAAAAAAAAATTATACCAGTATTCACAATTATTGCTGTGTTATTATACAGCATAACAACGTGAAAACGACGTACGTAATTATGTTATTTATAGAGACGCTTAAAGTTTTATTGTATCATTTTTTTTAAGTACAATGAATAATCGTCACCAAAAACTGTCGTTTTTCATACAATAAGATAAGAATTTTTTTTGTTTTATGTTATAGATGTTCATATCACTAAATAGTGACCTGTTCATCAAATAACTGAACTACATTCGTTTTAGAAATAAGATGCGCTTCTTTCGCGTCCATTTATCTTAACAATATTAGACATATGATGATCTAACATATGTCAAGACCTTTTTTTTTCTCTTTACTTGGGAAACAACACGGTGTGTGTGTGCGTGTGTATGCGTGTGTGATATGCACATTTTAATGAGATATCCTTTTTTTTTCTTTTCTACTTTGAATAAAAATAACATTTGTTTTTGAATCTTATTGCATTAAATTAAATACGATATACGATCATATTCTATTTCGTCGATGTTTCGCGTACGATTTTAATTTTTTCTCAGAAAAGAAAGAGAAAATCGTCAATAATAATATTATTTAGTTCGCTTACTATAAGAGAGACTAAGATAAGATCTAATGCACATAAGGTATACTTTGAAGGCATTCATCATTGTACAATTCCGTAAAGGAAAGAAAGAAAGAAAGAAAAAGATATATATATATAATTAACACATAAAACAGGAAAAAAAAAAAGAACTTTTAGCGATTTTTTTTTCCTTCTTGTTTTTCTTCGTTCAAATACAAATACATGTATACAACAACAGTATGTATGTGTTTCAACGCGTGAACGAACCTGAATTTTTGAACAAAAGCTTTGCTCTGACTCATAGCCAAAAAAAATAAAAATAAAAGAAAGAATAAAAATTATAGTCAGAAAAATAAGATGTCTGTCTTGAATAAGAAAAATGTCGGTTGATTAATTCTTTTTATTGGCATTAAATAAATCTCGCCAAAATAAAACAAATTTATTTTTATTATTATTATCGTGTTTTATTTGTAGATTACAAATAAGTTGATTTTTAGCATAAAAAGGCAAATAATGACGACTTTAACAGAAAATTCAATGCCTCAAATGGGTGGTGAGTAGTCATCGTTTTTGTTTTCTTCCTTAACATACAAGCTAGCTACTATTGTAGATGCAAGTCTAAAATGTTTTGATTATTGTTTTTATAACCAATTGAAAGTTATTTCTATTGGTTATTTGTCTTTGTGACGCGATTGATGTAGAATATTAAATAGATTTTTGTTTTTCATCATTTTAGGTTATTTGTCTGGTAATTTCTCACGAGCACCATCTATGAATGAAATGTCATCAATCAGTGAGAATTTACGTCTAGTTAATCAACTAAATTATAATTCAAATGAAAAACTACCATACAATCATTTACAATTGCCAAATAATAACTCGTATGAACATTATTATCCATTTAATGTATCCTATCAAAAACCTATTTATTCTTCGAGAAATAATTTATCAACAACAACCTCAACCGATAATGTTACACCATTGTCACTACCAACATCCTCTCGTGATCTATTTCAAATAGTCAATACTAATACTAATGATAATAATGGATATGTACAACGAAAATATGAACATCAGTCAACATCCGAATTGAATAATCTCTATCGTCGACACAGTATGTAGTTATTGTTGTTGTTTTTTGTTACTTATTAATTAATAGATTAAGGAGAACTTCTTCCAACTACGAATCGAATGATATTTAATTAACATTGGATAAATGAAGAATAATGAGATTCGCTAATTCTATTTCCAACAGTCTGAAGTATGAGACTTTTTAACTAACACTGTTTTTTCATTTAGCTGAAAATAATCTAACGTTGACGCCAAATAAGAAAGCGTATTATAATCATAGACCTCCTTTTGTAAATGAATCAATTCCACATTGGGCATCAATGCATCCTTGGCCTCTAAACAATAATCCTGTTAATAATAATAATAATAATAATTCTAATACAGAAAAACGTTCATCATTGCCACATAGTCTCAGTTATGGTGATTTTTCGTTAAATGGTATGTAGAAAAAAACATTTTCATGTACAAAGTTATCTGATTTTTTATTTCTTTTTAGGATTTTATTTTCCTCAATCACGGTTTATTGGTTCACCGTTTCATACACAGTCATTTTCGTCGATAAAACCATCTAGCACAGCTACATCAGCACCTTTGCATAATTCGTCTGTGCTACAACCTAATCTTTTAGCTAATAATCAACAATCACGTTTTATATCGCAATCAACATCTCAAATGTCTTCTAATAATGAACTTCCAATATTCTTTCAACCAATGTTTAATAATAGTAATTTATGCGGTCCAACAACTAACTCAGTTATTAGTAATCATGCTCAATTATCGACTGATACGTCCCATTTTACTTCTCGTCCGTCTGATTTTTCTATAAAAATAAAGAATAAAACAAAACAACGTATCACACAACGTATTACACAAGAAATTTTAAATTTAAAACAAAAATGTCCAACAATTTTCGCATGGGAGATTCAGCAACAATTGTTACAAAATGGTATTTGTAAACCACAAAATTTACCTAGTGTAAGTTCAGACTTTATTGTTAAATTTAATAAAATTACCAAAAAAATCCATTTGTTTTCTTCTATAATCTACCTAGCCTGACTTAATGCCTTGTCTAGCAATCTGATGAGACTTATTAAGTAATCAAAATGAAGTGCTATTAATTTGCCAGCTTTATTAAAAGTCTTTGTACAAGTTTAGAAGGCAGAGTCTTGCTTATACTAAACACTTTTTTGTTACGATTATTAACAATAGAAGTTAACTTTTGTTGTAGGCAAATACAATTCATCGTGTTTTGAGAAATTCAATAAATATTGATTCGATCATGCGTTTAAATAGTGATCCTATCGATACAAAACCAAATATTACAACAGGTATGAAGTAGGAAAATATGTTGAATCATACAAACAGACGGTTCATCACTCTGCATTAATATGATAAGACGTTATAGTAGATAGAAAATTAGCAATACGCAATAGCAATTAATATAAAACTACGTGTATATATTCAAATCTCGCAATTCGCACAAAAACCTAGTTTTATATTTTTTTGATCGTTAAATGTTTAGAATACTGTATTCTCTTATATTCTAAGAGAATAAACGCGTATATTAAAATTAGCCTACTAACAATAGAAATAGTTTTTTTACAGTTTCTTATATTAATTTTATTTTATTCCGTCTTAGTTATGCAGGCGTTACTGGATAATTTTAATCCAATGAACTCGAGCGTACCAACGTCAACATTTATTTCAAGTACCATAGATTCTTTAGGTAATTCATCTTTTTCTTTAAAAAGACAAATATTAATAATAAAGATATTAAAAATACAGTCGAACACTTAACTTCTTTTATATTATGCGCTTAAGTGCACTTATTTATATCAGATTATGAGTTAAAAATAATAAATAATTTTCTATTTTTTATTCAGGCAATTCTCATAGTGAATCATCATCAAGAAATACAAATAATTCTATGGCAATCTCAAACATTAACCCGGTATCATCATCATCATCTCAAACAAATAATTTAATTAGTACCTCACCATTGACTATTTATCTTTCACCGTCTCCATCTCCGTCTGTTCATGCGATTAGCGATTCCGATACATCTATATCCGATCCTGACACCGAATGTTCGATTTGTTTATGTTCATATAAGAATGGTCAAGAAATTCATATTCTATCTTGTACTCATGAATTTCATTCGAACTGTTTAAAACAATGGATTAAAAAAAATAATTCATGTCCCATTTGTCGTAGAGATATTACAGATCAATCAGAATTTATTACCATTCTCATTTAGTCTATTATACTCAAAGTAATTGTATATACGACGTTCTAAAATGTATTTTTTTTTCTTTTGTTAGTTTATTGTTCAGTCAAAAATAACTTTCGTGTTATTTGATTTTCTTTTGACTATTACATAGTGATTTATAAAAATTATTTTTCGTTTTTTTTAGATAAATGTGAACATCCGTTCCCGTTATCTTCTCATGTTCAATATTCACTTTTTGTTTTTGTTTTCTTGTACTTATTGTCATTACTTTTTTCTATCGAAAAAATAAATGATAAACTTGTGATTTTTTGATATAAACTTTTTTGTTATCGCTAAAAAAAAGAAAACTGATTAAACTAAAACGTTTTTGACTTTTCGAGTTACTTTTAAATAAGAAAAAATAAATATACCGATTTTGCTATGATTCATTTGTGCATATTGAAGGATTAACCTCTATAATAAAAGTGTGAAAGATTAACACGTTTTTTAGTGAATAAAGAATAGAGAGCATAGAGTCATGCAAAAATAAAGAACAGTTTCTCTTATCCTAACTGATCTGATCATCGCTAAGCGTTGTCGAATTTTTGACATACTGCTGCTAATAAGATACTCTTACCCCAATTTTGGTGTCGCAGTACCGCAGGTATTTAAAGGAGGAAACTGATTTTATTTGATGCTAGTGCTAGAAAAGATCGAATTTTGGAGGGCCGATTGCTCTTGCAGAACAGATGCTTGTGTTTTATCATAATTGATTAGTTGACAAGAGAGTAGAGAATACAATTCTAAGTTGTCGAAAACGGATTAGAGTCTATGTTCAAGGTCGAAGCACTGCTGGGTGTATTAACTCTTACCATTCCAGCTAGGACAGCAGCAAGGTCATCGGTGAAGAACAACGAAAGACAGTAAGTAAAAAATCACCCGTATCTGCATGGTAGGTGAGAGGTAACCAGGGTAAAGCTCGGGGTAACGTCCATCTCACTACAGCATGCTCTACGAAGATATCCAATGCTAATCAAGTTTAAATGTTTTATTGACAAAATCCAACTTTGGCTCAAAGTCGTAGTTTTGTCCAAATTTTTGCCGATGTAATAGCTTTTGGGCAAATATGAGATTTATAGTACATTCCAGTCAAACATTCCCCGTAAAAAGGGTGTGAAACAGCTGGGTCCAGACATAATCAGAAAAAAAATCTGACATTACTTTTCTTTTCGTCGTGACAGCGGACTGCCTGAAGGCCTCCCAGTGATGGATCGATCGAGAGGAGATTTGGCGGGTAACCTCCACCAATAATTGAAAAATTCATTATCATACCAATTGCTTTTCCATATGTTCCATATGGAACATGGCATACATAAAAAATGTCACGCTAGCTTTGAATGGAAAATTTATAACCCTCGCCCCCCCCTCCAAAAAAAAATTCTGGAGGTCTCGGACCAGCTCTGGTGCCTCCTCTCAATATAGGAAACCATCTGAATATTCTTAATAGATATCTTAAATATCTTCTTCTAGATTCTTAAACTTCTCCTCTGTTTTCGAGCGAAGATTTAATCCAGTCGACATAAGCTTGGGAATATCAATTCTTTTACTGAGACACTCCTCAAACCAGAGCTGATCGAAAGCATTCTTAAAACCTACAAAAACGGTAGCCGTGGGAGGACTATTGAACATATAGGAAGAGATTCGTTCAACTACCAGAAGTACTCTGGTCTACAATCGAAATCCAGGGCGAAAGCCAGATTGGGTATTCAGTAAAATTCCTTGCACTTTTAAAATTTCTTCAAATGGGATAGAATGAACTTCTCTTGTATTTTCAAAAATACATCGAGAAGAGAAATTGATCTGGTTGCGAATACCGGACAGATGGATTCTTTTCTGGCTAACAAGGGAGCCTCTTCAGGTGTCCTGCACCGTTTTTAATCGAATTAAGGGCTGAAACTTTTTCCTGAAGCATTATCATGACCTGCGCATAATTTTGCTCTCGCTTGTTGAAATGATTCGTATAGAAAAGAGTTAAATTCATCTATTTTTTGTACCTTCGTTCAATGTGATTTGATCCATATTTGGTATTCCTTTAGCAGGTGCTCCCCAAAACGTGATAACATTAAAGCTGGTGCTCCCCATATACACCTGGTCTTCCCCCACGGAACCGTAAAATGTGCGGTACATTATAGTTGGTGCTTCCGATGGGTATTTGGTGTTCCCCTTAGTGACATTAAGGCTGATGCTCCCCATATATATTTGGTGTTCCCCTATGTTGAAAAAATTCAGTAAGGTTGTGTTCTGAGTCTTTTAATGCCAAAATGAAAGCGTAAACAGTAAGTAAATTAAAAGAAGACAGAAATTATTATATATATTAGAAAGTTTTTATATCAAAAAATTGGAAAAATAAAAAAAAATGAAAAAATAAACAATAAGAAGATAAAGTAGTAACTTAGTAAGTACTAAAGAAGTACAGAAGCCCAAAAAAGCACAAGGAAATACAAATAGTGAAGTATGATTTATTGACCAAGAAATTCGGTAGTTTTTCGTAGCCTTAAATAAATTGCAAAAAGGACTGTAATCAATAATTACCCATTTAAATAGTCAAATAGCCAATTCAAGTGCATTTAGACGATTACAAGCTCGACTTTATTTTGAATGGATAATTATTGATTACAATTCTTTTGCAATGTATTTAAAGCAAGGAAAAGTACTGAAAAAAAACGTCTAGTAATCAAGAAAGGAACTACTGTTTTTTCCTTGGCCGTTAAATCAGTAAAAAAAAACAGAAAAAAAAGTTACATACGAAAGCGACGAATGTCTGTTAATATCGACGAAAACATGTCCTTGTGCATCGATCGATACCAAAATTCGTTTAAATGACTGTCGAGTAACGCTGGTCCGCGCATGGCTCTCAAAATTTTTGTTTTGGCTTGACCCCTCAATCATTCGATTAATTGTGTGTGATAGCTAGTGTGCACGTCAACAAAATTTTGACTGTGGTTGACCTACAATTTAATTTAGATGCTCATAAAGTTTTGAAACTCGCAGTGGTTCATTTACTTACTGTTTGATGACCATACCTATGCGACGTTTGTAAGTTTTTATATGCACCCCATTCATCGGGACATACGGTTGTTCTAAGTACAACATGCTTGAGTATAATCGGAACTAATGTTGCGCGATCCCGACGCTGTACATGAAAAAACCGAACTTCATATCCATTTTCTGTTGGTTGAATAATTCTAAATATCCATGAATGTGAAATATTGAAGCTGATTAGTGCAGATCTAACTGAACCACAGTTATAACTTACCATCCATTCGTCTGCCATAGTTTCGGTTATTTGTGGACTGATTGTCATCACTGCTACTATCGCTGTTACTACTGGTATGGTACTAATCCGCTTGTGTTGTTGTTGTTATTCTTCTTCTTATTAATATTACCGAGTAGTAACCTTCCACGATTATACTTACGTTTACCCCGAAACAGTAATTCATCAATCTCCACCACTTCACCAATACCACCCATTTGCGGAGCCACGTTCAGTTAGGAAGCTTCTTGTTATCATTAAGAATAGAATAGAATTCACGAAAATTAGTTAGCATTGGAACAATAGTAGTCATTTTGAAGTTGTGATTTTTAACTAGGGTGGGGTATTCATATATATACTTTTCCATAAATATAACTCCAACTTTGTTCAAGAATCCACGTTTGATCATTTTGACTTATCGAAATAAGACCAGCTGCATCTTTTGATTTAGTGAAAGAGTACCAGCTATAATGTTACCGCACTTTTTATGGTTCCGTGGGGGAGCACCAGCTATAATGTTACCGCACTTTTTATGGTTCCGTGGGGGAGCACCAGCTTTAATGTCACAACGTTTTGGGGGGAGTACCTGCTAAAGGAATACCGATATATTTTTGAAAACGAAAAACAACTTAAATCAGGAATTCTTTTAAGATGATGTTGAACATTTTGTCAAGTATGTTTCCTTTACCTTTTTTCTCGACTTTTTCATCATAAAAATCGATGATATTTCTCGTGCATTCTAATGTCAGTTGGTTAAAAAGATTATATCCTTAGACTGAAAGTTGTACTCAACTATATTCTCATTCTCGAAACGATACGATGAGCTATTTATAATCGAAACAATGTTTTTAAAAAGATGTTGAGCTACTTCTTCGTCTGAAACTGTATAGGTAGATGCATTACTCAATGATATATGTTGTGAAATTCGTTTCTTTTTCTATTTTCTTAAGAGCTATTAGCTGAGAAAGTCAGGCAGACAGTGATTGTCGAAGTGATTAGGCTCATATTCACACCATATATAGTATATATATATATATATATATATAGACTAGTATAAGGTGAAAAGGAGAAGTTTTAATATTGATTCGTTCAGGAGTTGTATAGTATATACATTTTTATTCTAGCAACAAAATAGCTTTGGGTCGAACCTCTAAAAAAGTGTGATGATGGGAAGGGGAACAAATTGACACTTACACTTTCTATGTTTGAACCTCTTGAGACCTATTCCTCCGGAAAAGCACAATTAGGTTCGAAGCCGTTGTTTAGAAGAGAAGAAAGGGGGAACCTGTCACATCTCCTAAGTCAAGTGTGCCAATCGTAACTTTTATGACGTTCCCTTAACAATCAGATTACCGAACAAACTGATGCTAATGAAAACAGTTTTATTGAAAGTGACACTTCAGCAGGTTATTTGAGAAAATCATAGACAAATCGATTCGTCATACGAGACGAATTCGGTTTTTCTATATGAAGTTAATTCGTAATTCTTATGTATATTTGCAGAAAAAGTCGTTTTTTTGAAATTTAGTTTTGACTTTCAGAAAAAGCCGAAAATAAAAAATCATAAAAATCTATTTTTTATTTATGACTGCCACTACACTATACATTGAATTTTTACCTTGACGTGCTGAATATTTCAAAACACATCTTAGTTCTTTGTTGTTTTCAGTAGAGACGAAGTAGCCACTAAGCAAAATGTTTTCTGTCTTCCATTTGGATCTTCCGGTATCTAATT